GGTGGAAATGTTTTATAACGATTTTCAGTACTGTTGACTGTTATTTTATTGTGTTCAATTTGGTAGATGTGCTTCCAGGAGAGTCCAAACAACACCTCCCAAATAAAATAACAAAAGAATATGTCCCACAATAATTGATTTATTGTTCAGGATTTACTTCTGATTCGCTGGGCCCACACATGACATGGGCATACTCTCAACCTTTCAGCTACTGTGGCAGCTGTCAAGAATCCCAGCTCAAAAATTGTCATGATGAGCACAATCATGAGCGTTATCCTCCTGGCGACCCAAGCAAGCGTGCATCGCATACTTCGTCTTGGACTTGGTGGCAGGTTGTGTATGCTCCTTAGCCTGCGTACTCAAGTTTGTTTGAGCATGTCTGCAAGTAAAGATGTTCTTGCCCTTGCCTCCCTTGAGGTAGACCTCTCCAGCATTGAACTGGGACTACTGTTACAGTTAAGTTGGCGTGGTAAGCCGTATTTTATCAGGCGTCGAATGGAGGATGATATCAAGTTGGCTAACAGTTCGATGTTGCCTCCTTCGGACCCACAGGAGGATTTCTGTCAGAGTTAAGAACCCAGAAATGGCTTGTGGTCGTTGGGGTCGTACCCATCTGGGGTGCATCCTTTGCCAAATGCTGGTTGACTTTGGTGGTTGGTTTTGCCCATTCCATGGCTCTCACTTATGACATATCTGGAAGGATCCGAGGGGCCAGCACCCATTCAATCTGGAAGTAACCCGACTTTCTTAGTCTTGAAACAAAAAAGAAAAAAAAAATGTTTTGAAATATCCGTTGTTGACATAAGATTTCTTAGAATGAATGGATGGCATTATAGCTCGTGGTCGTATTTTTTTTTTTTTTTAATTTGTTTATTTATTTGTTTATTTATTTATTTTTTGAGTTTGGGTAAAGATGACTTGACTATAGATTTTAGGTGGGATTTTGAAGTGATTACAAGAACATGATTATTCATTGGCATACCCTTCTGTCTTATCTCGTTGTCTTTTTGTGATTGGTTTGAATGCCAATTGGCACCTTTGTCTTGTGACACGAGTAGTTGTAAGAATTAGGTTATGTTTTCCTTGCGTTTTAGTTAGTTGGAGTAGATTAGTTTCTAAGTTGTTTAATACTCTTACAGCTGTTTCCTTGTGATTGTTCTAGATACTTCTAAGATGAGAGGTAAAATTTTTAGTTAGTTGGTCTTGGGAGTGATATTAATATTTATCATTGGGTGAGTTTGTATTATGGGAGTTGTTGAATTTAAGTTTAAACTTTTAGTAACTAAATGTTTGTTTTTTTTTTCTTCCTTTTTTTTTGCTAGAAAACGTTTAGTCGGCAAAAACATGATATTATGTTTCATTACAAATATTATAATGTGTCCATAACCTGTCTGTATTCCATGCAACCTGTAATACGTATATAAATAAAATGATACATAAACTATCAATCATTCCACAATCTGCATCCTTATACAAAAAATAAATTATTTTAACTGTCCAAGTACATACAAACGAACTATTATCCAAACTAAAATAATAATTCCATACAACATATAAAATCATACAAAAAGTAAAGCCCTCCATATACAAAAATTACATTTACTATACCATGTGAAATGACCATTTGGCATGGTACAAATTACCATCGTAATCTGTATCACGACAAAAGGTGATGTATGTACCAAGCCAAAAGTACATCTATGTACCACGATAAAAAATCATATATCTATACGACGATAAAAGGTGATCTATCTACCATGCCAGTAATTATCTGTTCGCTGCCAAAATTTTTTTGTATTAGTAATAGTTAACTACACAAAAGCCGGAGATGACAAAAGTATTATATTACTTCTATACAAAAGTACAATTTCTTCTCCATACACCAAAATATCTTTGGAAGTCCACGCAACAAAGTCATCTACAAAAAACCAAAAAAAACACTAGAATTGGACCCAAAAATGCCCAACTTCATGAATGAATTTGGCAACAAGTGACAAATAAAATAAGTGAGAAGCAACTAGGAATGGCAACGGGACGGGGCGGGGCGGGGCCGGGGATCACACTCCCCGTTCTCGATCCTCGATGGTCAAATTTCCCCCGGCCCCGGCCCCGATCCCCGACGGGAAAGCCATCACCGCCCCTGCCCCCTAACGGGGATCGGGTTTCCCCGACCCCGAACATTCCCCGGCCAAAAAAAAAAAAAAAACCTTCAGAAAATACAACAACAACTGTGTAAATCAGATCTGAACTTTGTGTAGAGTCCACCAAATCAAATCCAATACAGAGAATATAATCAATGGAATATTCAAGAAATTAACAAAGAATATAAATTACATTAGTGTGTTTATATGTACACACCATAACACATTTATTTCCTTTGGTGGACCAAAACAAAAAACTGAAAATAGAGCTCCTTCAATTTTCTTCTTCAGCTTGCTCAACTGCCTTGGCATTACGATCACTGCCGAATGAGACAGATCTGAAATTTGTGAAACAGATCTGAGACAGATCTGAAAACCAAAAAAAAAAAAATCTGATCAGCAGTGCAAGACGCGGTGGTGATGAGAGACGCTGTGGTGGTGGTGGTGGTGCGAGGTGGAGGCGACGAGAAGAGGAGCCGATTGCGTAGCAGTCTGTGGAGTGAAGAGAGAGAGAGTGAGAGAAGAGAGAGAGAGATCATAGATCAGAGATGCGTTTTGGGAACTTTAACAACTATATAATAGATATAAAATAGATATGGAGAGGGGGGTTTATTATCAGAGATAATATAATAGATATATAATAGATTAGAGGGAGGGGGTTTTATTTCGGGGAGAAACGAGGCGGGGAACAGGGCCAGGGACAGGCCGGGTCCGGGGCTGTGAAAGTGATCCCCGTCCCCGGCCCGAATTTAATCGGGGATTCAAATTTAAATACCATCCCCGGCCCGTCGGGGGTACTTTTCAGGGAAAAACTACTCTTATCGGGGACGGGGGGTCGGGTCCCCGTCAGGCTGGTTTCAAATTGCCATCCCTATGTATAACTAAAAATGCAACGGTATATTTTTACATATGAAACTAATTTGAAAAAACAAATGGCAATGCGATGCGTGGGGTCCAGCTAATAAATTTAAAAATAAAAGGGGAAATTACCCACAGGTCCTATGTGAAACATGTGGACACTATTTAATCCAGTAACTTTTTGAGTAGATCCAAAAGTCCTACTTTCTTCTCTCTCTCTCTCTCTCTCTCTCTCTCTCTCTGCTTTTTGCCTGACTCTTTACGTTTTCTTCTCTCTTTTTTTTTTGCATTTTTCTCTCATCTTCTTTGTCATGGACGACTACCGGTGATCACGTCTTTCTCCATTGATTGGGGTTCACCGAAAACCACCAACCATCGAAATCAACTCGTGACTTCACCTTCACCGACGGCGAAGATGATATATTTCCGACGAAGAAGATGAGTGGATCTACTCAGATCTGATGTATATTTGTAATAAAAAAAGGTAACCAACTGTATAAAAAGTTATCATTCTAATGAGTTAGAGTATATTATACTGAATTATAGTATAGTAGTTATAAAGTTGAACATTTGTTCAGTAAATTATAAAATAATCGTGAATAATGAGAAATCGTCTCTTGAATCGCCAAATATCTTAATGAGAAATCGTCTCTTGAATCGCCAAATATCTTTACTTTCCATTATGCCAATCAAATCCATTCTAAAAATTAGAAATCAACAAATAAAAGAAGATCTACATCAGATTTGGCTAGATCTAAACAAAAAATAATTGCCGGAGTACAACCCTCTCTCTATATCCGCCTTTCTCCTTTGATCTCTTTTTTTTTTTTTTTTCTACTATACACTTCTATTTTTCTGTTCTAATGGAGAAAATTTTCAAATTCTGAACAAGTAGTTTTCGAGTTTTAGTTACAGGCGGTGAAAATTGTAAAATTTTGCAGTTTCAAATTTTTTTTGGTACTGGAATGAATCATGGTTTAAAACTGTAAAATTTTGCAGTTTCAAATTTTTTTTGGTACTGGAATGAATCATGGTTTAAAACTGTAAAATTTTGCAGTTTCAAATTTTTTTTGGTACTGGAATGAATCATGGTTTAAAACTGTAAAATTTTGCAGTTTCAAATTTTTTTGGTGCTGGAATGAATCATGGTATAAAATTGTAAAATTTTACAGTTTTATAATATTCTTTAGAACTGTAAAATTTTACAGTTTCATAACATGTTTTTCAGTTTGATTAATAAGGATAAATGCTTAATAGATTTTTGCTTTGAAACTGTAACATTTTACAGTTTCAAAACCTACTTTTCAGTTTGATCAATATTGGAGATTATTTGCTTGAACCTTACAAAAATTGAAAAATAGCATATATTTTTTCCATTGTTGCTGTTTTTTGTCGTTTCATTTTTTTTTCCCTTTTAGTTTATCAATATTTAGCACGTTTTGTTATGTTTTTTTTCTCTAATTTCTCCATTTATTCCTTTTTTTTCCGGCAATATTCTAGACATTCCGGTGAGTCTCCAGTGATGTTCTTAACGTCCAGTGAACATTCTGAACATTCCGGCGACTTCTATTAACGTTCTTAACACTCCAGTGAACTTCCGGCGAAACTCCGGTGACTTCCCGATGATACTCCAGCAACTTCCCAGCGATGTTGAACATTCCGACAAGTCTCCGGCGACCGCTTGACGGAAGTCCGACAGTAATAAATTGTAACAGTGTTTGTAAATTTTTTTTTAATAAAAATAAATTTTTTTAATAATAATTAAAAATATATAAAACTAATTAATATAAATATTTTATTTAAAAATTAATTGAGTCTTAAATTTTGTACTTAAGACTTATCAGTAAGTTATTCAAAATAAAAATAAAGTTGAGGTCGGGTGGAATCTGTCTGTCGAAGTTTAGAGTTCAATCACACGTCGTCGTTTCAAAGCGTACACTCATGCGGGGGGCGTCTAATCGTCTCGTCATTTTTCAACTCGTACATTACATTACATAGGATCTGTGTGGCTTCTCATCTCATCTCATGTCATCTCATCTCTCTCTCTCTCTCTTCCCGAAGCCGAGAAAGCCAGAGAGAGCCTGTCCCATCACCGTAACCCTAACAAAAGGAAGCAAGGGAGGAGGAGATGTTGAGAGTTGCCGGGAGGAGGGTCTCTTCTCTCTCATGGAGGTCCACTCAGGCATCTCCATCCGCCTTCATGGCTAGGAATCCGATCAACGGTGGCTCTGATTCACCCTCCCATGACCTTAGATCCATCTGCCCACCGCACACATTTTTTATTAGCTCCTCCTCCTCCTCCGTGTTCCTGGATCAAATCAGAGGTCAGTGTTAAGAGATTTCCCTTTCTATTTCTTTCTCAAAGCTTTTGTGCTTTCTGATTTATTTACGTTGTGTTTGGTTGGGGGATTTGGGGAGGAATTTGGAAAGGGAAATGAAAAAGGTAGGTGAAATGTCGTGCCTATATTTCACATAATTTCACATACTTTTTTTCCAATCCTTTCCTAAATCCCTCCCTAAATCGTCCAACCAATCACAGCATTAGGTTTCCCGTTTAACCTTACCTGCGATCGTTGTATCATCTCAATTGATTTCTCATTTGATCCGGTTCAGAGTGTCACAAATTTAGGAAAGAGGGGTAACAATAGTGATTATTATTATTATTATTATTAAAAATCTTTGTGTAGTTGTTTGTACATTACATATGATAAGGGATGAACATTGTTTGTTATTTATTTTGTCTTCCTCAATTTGCTCAGTAAGTAACCAAATGATGGATTAGTTTTTATTCAATTTGTGCACATAACATAACATATTGCTCTGAATAATTAGTTGCTGCAGTCCTTGCTTGCTGTTACTTTTTCCACTCTTTTAACTTACATTAGAAATTTGATTTTTGCATATATTGATTACATTAGAAATTTGAATTTCAATTGTTCATCTGCAATCTGTCTGTCTGTCAAGTCAAATATCCATTTGAGTTTCACATGATCAAAGACCAGAGTATTCATTCATCATTATTCTTTCTTCTCTCAACCAGCTTTGCTTTTCTCCCTTACAACTTGGATTTTAATTATTATAACTTTAAAACTGGTTGTTTTGTTGTCTACTTGGAGTTGGTAGGTAGGTAGGTAGGTAGCATATGCAAGGGGTTACTGATGTAATATTTTTTTGTCCTGTGTTAGCTCTCTTTGGGGTAGCCATCATTTCTGCAGATCTGTAAACTTCAATCAAAGATGGAAATGTATTATTGTACAAATGTCATATCCTGATCTGCTTATTATCCTTGGGAGTCAGTGTTAACTATGTCGAAGATAATGGAGTCCATCACACTTCTTTTGCCATGCAATTGTTATGTGGCTTTTCCTTGCTCATTTGTTTTTGTTGTTGTGTTGCTTTTGCTATAATTATTATCATAACATCATTATTACTTTAAGCTTCTATTGTTTTTGTCTAAATCTTTCTATGACTAGAAACTCTTTGTTTGTTTAATACATGTGTTGTCTTATTAAAAGAAAAAAATATTAATAAAAAAAAAAAAAAATTCCTGAACATGCAGTTTTCTTTGACCCTGCAGTTTCCAGTCTAATGATTTTTGAGCATTGAGTTATTGTGCTTCTTGTATTAGCAAATATATGCTCCCCCTCCCCTTTTAGCATAACGGTGATGGGAGGAGTTGATATTTCTTTAAATATCATATTATTATTGCCCTGCAGTTTTACCATGGTGGAAATGTTTTTATAACGATTTTCAGTTACTGTTGACTGTTATTTTATTGTGTTTCAATTTGGTAGATGTGCTTCCAGAGAGTCCCAAACAACACCTCCCAAATAAATAACAAAAGAATATTGTCCACAATAATTGATTTATTGTTTCAGGATTTACTTCTGATTCGCTGGCTCCCACACATGACATGGGCATACTCTCAGACCTTCCAGCTACTGTGGCAGCTGTCAAGAATCCCAGCTCAAAAATTTTGTATGATGAGCACAATCATGAGCGTTATCCTCCTGGCGACCCAAGCAAGCGTGCATTCGCATACTTCGTCTTGACTGGTGGCAGGTTTGTGTATGCTTCCTTGATCCGTCTCCTGGTACTCAAGTTTGTTTTGAGCATGTCTGCAAGTAAAGATGTTCTTGCCCTTGCCTCCCTTGAGGTAGACCTCTCCAGCATTGAACCTGGGACTACTGTTACAGTCAAGTGGCGTGGTAAGCCAGTTTTTATCAGGCGTCGAACTGAGGATGATATCAAGTTGGCTAACAGTGTCGATGTTGCCTCCCTTCGGGACCCACAGGAGGATTCTGTCAGAGTTAAGAACCCAGAATGGCTTGTGGTCGTTGGGGTCTGTACCCATCTGGGGTGCATCCCTTTGCCAAATGCTGGTGACTTTGGTGGTTGGTTTTGCCCATGCCATGGCTCTCACTATGACATATCTGGAAGGATCCGCAAGGGGCCAGCACCATTCAATCTGGAGGTACCGACTTACACCTTCTTGGAGGAGAACAAGTTGATGGTTGGATAAGAATTCAGGATGGAGTTACTCATCAGCAAATTTATTTTTCTTTCTTTTTGACGTATTCAGTAATGCTTTATGGACTTGTTTTTTGTATCTATTGCCAGTCCTAGGCAGGGCTATATGGCTCTGAATAATGCAACTGGCTTCTTGTTAAGCATTTTTTGCAGTCTTCATGGTGCTTGGAACGTACTTCACTTAATAATTTTTTTTGAGCAATACTTCACTTAATAATAAGATGCCTTTTTTCAGTTGTTGGATTGTACTTATAATGTGGCCTTCTCCAATAATGCTTGGAGTTGGTGCAGAATTTTTTAGGGTTAATGAGGCTCCCCTCATCTTGGTTACAATGATGATTTGTTTTGTGTCTTCCTGGACATGGTTTTCCACGGTATGTGACAATTTTTATTTCCATGCTATCAAACAGTTGGGTGTGAGAGATAAGTTTTGCAGCTCTTTTATTGACATAATAAACAATCCAAGGTAGAAACCAAACGAATGCCAGCAGCTTCCTTTTTATTTAACACTTTTTTTTTTTCCTGTTTCTTTTTTTTTTAAATTCAAATTTTGCTTTTCTCTGTCTCTTCTTTTTTTTTGTTTCCGTGAAAATTATCTGTTTGAAACTAAATTAATATGTTTGGATTTGGCCATTTGTTTCAGGGGAAGATTAAGGGATAAGTAATACATGGACTTCATATTTTTTTATACCATATGATCGTTGGATGAAACTAAGGGTTGATTTGGTGCAACTTATTTAAATTGCTTATAAATTATTATTATTATTATTATTGTTATTATTATTATTAAAGAGAAGTGTTTGAGGGTTTTCTGATTATCAGTTTTTAAAAAATTATACTACATAGGTTTGTATTTATTTTAAGGATGTGTATTTTAAAATGACTCATTATATATCAGGTAAAATTTTGTGAATTATACAGCGTAAGTAATACACTTCAATTTTAATCTTTTAGAGATAATAATAATAATAATAATAATAATAATAAAGATTAATATATGACGGAAGAGGGGGAGGGAGGGGGAGCGGGAGTCGGGTAGAAGGTCCATTTGAACAGATAGCTAAGGTCTATCTAGCAGCAGCTTGTCATCAAACTGGCAAAACAAACAAAAACAGCTTTCAGAGTAATTAACTCGCATCAACTATATTCATGCACACGCCAACTTGTTCGTCTTCTTCAAGCAATCCTTTTTTATTTTACAATTCCTCTGTTTTCTCTTCTCTTGAAAACTTCAGTCTCCTTCTCAAAACCTAAACTCGAATAAAACCCTTCAACTACTACATATATGGAGGGGACATCCCAACTGTATTCCCCCCTCCCCACACACACACACACACATAAGTACACAGCTTTTTTGCACTCAATGAGTCCAAAACCCAAACATACCCATTTCTGTTTTACATGGACTCTTCTTGAACTCAGACTCAGAGATTGGGGCTTTAGCTTGAGAAATTCATTTTAAAAATAAAAATAAAAATAAAAATGAGGGATTGTATTACGTGGGTCTTTGTGGTTGCTCTCTTTCACGGTTGTGTGTGGAGGATTGCCGGTGTTGAGGGGCTTGGTCACAGTGTACGTACAGAGAGAATTTCAGGTGAATTTGTCATTCATCCTTGTTAAGTTTGATTCCCAACTGTCCTATATATTGTGCAGTAATTCTCTTTTCCAACATACTCTCATTCGCATTTTATGTTATTGAGTTACCTATTCTGTTTATTATCGGGGATTTGCCCATTTGGGGGGAGAGAGAGAGAGAGAGAGAGAACAGCATAATTCAGGATAGGCGAGCAGAGAAGAGAAAATTCATCCTTTCTTGTTTGGAAAAGAAAACAGAGTTTTGTTATACGTTCAAGAGGGGTAAAATTTGGTGTCATAAAATCCGTAACTACTAACTCTCATTCTTTCCTCCGCAATTTAAACTAGTGATTAAGGAGGAGAGAGAGTCCAAGAGTCTATTTTTCTTTTCTTTTTGAAGGGCTCATACTTGAAAATTCTGAGACTAGTAGCTCACGGGATTTGTATTATAAAGTTGAGTGCTACTTTTTCATTTAGTAATTCCAAATCAGATAGTGCTCTCCAAGTTTTTTTTTTTTGTGTTTTGTGTTTTGCGTTTTGTGTTTTGTGTTTTGGTGGCAAATATGCTAGTTTGTATCATCACCTTAAAAGACTAGTTTTTGTAGGAAAAATATCGAACCTTCTTAATTTGCAGCTAATCTAACTATTTTTCATCTGAGTTTCAGCTGCATGGTTTTCATTTGCTTGCGTGCAACCCTCAAATTGTTTTTTTTCCGTTGACAAATATTACCTTGAAGAATATAAAGCTGATTAGTTAGGGTTCAACTCCATAAAAATCAGATACGATACACAGACATGGGATGGTGAACTCATTCAACTTGAGCAAGCTTAGGATGTGATGATTGCAGTTCTTCTTTTCATAAATCAACAAAACCAACTTGTGTGAATGAATTTATTTCCTTTCCTATTTTGCATGTCAAGACTTTGTTCAGTTGAAATTTTCTCAAATAATTGATCTTTACACTTTTGTGAGTTGTTTTCACAAATTTTATGGAAAAACCCGAAGTATGGATAATAAAAATGCTACGGTTTCACTAAATGTAGGAAGTGCCGGTGATGTCTTGGAAGATGATCCAGTGGGAAGGTTGAAAGTTTTTTTATATGAGCTTCCAAGCAAATACAACAAGAAGATCTTGCAGAAGGACCCCAGATGTCTCACCCATATGTTTGCTGCCGAGATCTTCATGCATCATTTCCTTTTGTCCAGCCCAGTTCGAACCCTCAATCCCGAGGAAGCAGATTGGTTTTATACCCCTGTATACACCACTTGTGATCTCACCCCCAAGGGTTTGCCACTGCCATTCAAATCTCCGCGAATGATGAGAAGTGCAATACAACTCATCTCCACAAACTGGCCTTACTGGAATCGAACAGAAGGTGCCGATCACTTCTTTGTTGTACCCCACGACTTTGGCGCCTGCTTTCATTATCAAGTAAGACAAATAGTTTTCTTATCATATTTTCGATGACACCAGTTGCTGGATGTTAGGACTAGAGTTTTCTGTCACAACTTTGTTCTCTATTTAATTGCTATTACAGGACTCACATCTAACTATCGAGACTGTAGCGGGAATTTCTGATAATACAGTGGATTCAATTATTGTTGACATTTTGCAGGAAGAGAAAGCGATTGAACGGGGAATTCTTCCATTACTTCAGCGTGCTACCTTGGTTCAGACTTTCGGACAGCGTAACCATGTGTGTTTGAATGAGGGTTCTATCACAATTCCTCCCTATGCGCCTCCACAGAAAATTCTGGCCCACCTGATTCCCCCCGACACTCCTCGGTCCATCTTTGTCTACTTTCGTGGTTTGTTTTATGATGTAAATAATGATCCAGAAGGGGGTTATTATGCAAGGTATGTTTGTGCTTCTTAAAAGAATAGTATGTTTTGTGGAGTTTCTCAATGTGAAAGGGTAGTACAAATACTCTTATTGAGTTTTCATTTGAATGCTGACTTGTTAATATTTTGCTTTTGTTGTGATGTGGATGAAATGGGCGTGAAACTCAATTTCAACCTGTATCTCAAATTGGGTACCTCATGTGGTAGTAGTATGATCCCTTTCTAACATTTCATTTCGATGTGCAGAGGTGCAAGGGCAACAGTTTGGGAGAATTTTAAGAACAATCCACTCTTTGACATTTCCACTGAACACCCAACTACATACTATGAAGACATGCAGCGTGCTGTTTTCTGTTTGTGCCCGCTGGGGTGGGCTCCGTGGAGTCCTAGACTAGTTGAAGGGGTGATATTTGGCTGCATTCCAGTTATCATAGCAGATGACATTGTTTTACCTTTTGCGGATGCCATTCCATGGGAGGAAATAGGAGTGTTTGTAGCAGAGAAAGATGTCCCACATTTGGATACAATCCTTACATCAATACCAACAGAAGTAATTCTAAGGAAACAGAGGTTGCTTGCGAATCCTTCGATGAAACAGGCGATGTTGTTCCCTCAACCTGCCCAACCAGGAGATGCTTTCCATCAGATTCTAAATGGACTAGCTCGGAAATTGCCACATGATGAGAATGTTTATTTGAAGCCCGGTGACAAAATCTTGAATTGGACTGTGGGACCAATGAAGGACCTCAAGCCTTGGTAAGTGATGCTTGACTATGCAATTCTTGGAACATAAGGCAAAGTGGTATTAGTAGGAATGAAACAACACATGGTGCTCAGAATTATGATTGAAAACTTAGTGGAGGACATGATCCATCGCTTCTCCATAAAACCCATCGGATTTCGAGTGAATTTCATTGTTTGAGGGCTTCAATTTCGCATTTTGCTAAAGTTTTCATCAATTAATTATTTGGTGTATGTGAATTCTGTATTATTTTTGGAAAATTTTCTTTCATTAAAACTAAATTTGAGCATGACTCAAATTTGGCTCTTTGGTTCTTATTATTTTGGCGAGCTTAGGATTCAACAGAATTATACAAAAGTTTTACGGTTACAGATTGTGCACTTAAATGTTTCCAGCACAGCAATAAAGGAACATGCATCTTTTCAACAATAAATTCATGATGTAGATCCTCTTTTTCTTTTTTTGGGGGTTGCTTCTTCAGTACACAGATCTTCAAAATATTGAGTGTTCAACAGAATGGTGGTAGATAATGTTAATGACCAAGTATATGTTCAATTTTGTATGTGTGAGCGTGTGTGTTCGTAGAGCTTTTTGTGATGCACCCAATCCATGCTTTTCGTTGAAGAAGAATGATGGATGTTGAAGAACAAACAACAGAAGAGAAGGTAGTACAAGTGCCTTTTTTGTGCGCTGTCTGTCTGGCAAAAGGGCTGTTTGGTTTGAACCAAAAACATAATTAGAAGATTTGATAGCTTGGAAAGGAAAATTTATATTCAAAAGCCTACCCAAACCAATTACAAATGTGATTACAGGAGTTCCTACTTGTTGAAAATTTTGATAGGAGTGATCGAAACAGTCCCAACAACATGGGTTATTGCAATCTAAGGAATCCACAAAGGCTCCTCCCAAAGACTATATTAGTGAATGCAAATTTGTTTACACATATGTAAATGATGCATAATATCAATAGATTGATTGAAGTGTAAAAAAATAAAAAGAATGATGTAATTAGATATTTTGTCTTTTTTATTATTTTAATAAAAAAAAAATTCTTCCCAAATGGATTGTCTCACCAAAAGTTCAAAGTACCTTTTACCAAACCATATTTTATGAGATTAGTGACCCTACTATTGCTACCTTTGCCACCCTATCATATCACCGCACTAACTAACCAACACCACTATTATTACTACCACAAGTAAAATATTAATTTTAACATCATAATCAAACATTATAAAATACCTTTTACAAAAATAATAATGATTAGTAGTCCAAAAAATTATGACTCGAATGACTCAAAACATCCAAAACGACGTCGTTTTGACACATTTGAGCCATTCGAGTCACAAAAATTCGGACCACCAAACATTTTCCTTACAAAAAATATCTTTCATAGAGGGGATTTATTTTTTTTGCGAGTCATAATTTATTTATTTGCAATTAATTTATGTACTGGTCTTTTATCTTATATTTTTCCCAAATTATTTATGATAATTTGCCAAGAAATTTAAAAAAGAAAAGAAACAAAAAAGGAATTTTTGGTGAAACCTCCCCTTTTGGGCTTTTTCTAGGATAAAAGACAACCTTAACTAATTTAGTTTCAAATAGTCGTTGAGAAAGATGAGAGTATCTCAGGAAGGACATATCATAATTTTTTCTTCTTTTTATGGACAATATTGCCCTTTCACACACACACACACATATATGGTCTCGTTTGGCAAGTAGTGATTTTAGTCAAAAAGTTACTAAAACTAAAAAGTCAACAATTTATATTAAAAGTCAAATATTTTATTTTCTATGCAATTTTTGCACATCTTTTCGTAAAAAACTAAAAAGTTATCTAAAACATATTAGTTTTTTTACATCATATTTTAGCTAAAAAGTCAAAAAGTTACTAAAAAAACCTTTTCCCAAACAAGACCTATATATCATATATTTGAAAATCTAATCAGTGAAGATCTTGTAAAAACTCGATCTCAAAATCTGAAGATCTCTCCGCTAACAATCTCGTCGTCGGTCAACAATAGACGATTCGCCGCCGACGATCTAACCATATTTGCTTCGATTACGTGTTCTTCAACAATCTCGAAGTCTGTATCAATAAGAGCTTCATATTTCAAATCTATATCAGATTTTGAGAGTTTCATCAATATTGAGAGTATAGATCTAGTTTTAGAGGTTTTGCTTCGGTCGCGTATTTGATTATTGTTTGAGTTTGATCAAGTATGTTGATTTGTTAATTAGTTGTTTTGTTTGTTTGTTTGTTTGATTTTTTTTTTTTTTGATTAGTTATTTTTGTTTAATAGAAAGAGAGTAAAATTTTATTCTGGTACTATGTGTTCTGTTTTGTTTAGAAGTAAAATTTTACTCTGGTTCTATGTGGTCTGTTTTTTGTTTGAGAGTAAAATTTCACTTTGATACTATGTATTCTTTTTTATTTGATTAAATAAGAATAAAATTTTATTCTGCTATTATGTGCTCTGTTTTTGTTTGATAGAATGACAGTAAAATTTTACTCTGGTATTTTGTGCTTTTGAGATTTGTTTTTGGACTCGTAGTGGCAGTAAAATTTTACTTTGATTGCCAGTAAATTTTTACTGTAAACTGATTGTAGATTTGAAAAATGGTTCCAGCACTTATGTTGTTATGCAAGTAGATCCAACATTACTGATGATGAAATGGATTTAGTTCCTATGTTTAAAGGACTTTTGTTGTCTTTTGGATGGTGAATGAAATTATTCATGTAAGTCAAAGATTTGTTGGAGGTGCAAAGGATTTCCGAACTGCATTATGTAAAGATGCCATTGAGATAGGATTTGAGTTTGTGTATGTAAAGAATGACAAGTGTTGGGTTACTACTGTGTGTTCAATAAAAGACATTTTTACTATATTGTTGAATGGTTGTTTATCCAAATTTATGATTTTGTTGAATTTGACATTTTAATTTTTTTTTTCCATGTGGTTGAATTAGTTTCATGTAAGTGAACTTATAATGGAGTTTTTTAACATGAAGATTTGAAGTAAAATTTTAGTCTTAAAAATAGTAAACATTACTTTTCTTAACATGAAAGTAAAATTTTACTCCTATTCAGAGTAAAATTTTACTTTATTTCAGAGTAAATTTTATATTGAATTGAAAGTAAAATTTTACTATGTTAGAGTTTGTTTAATATGAGTGAAATTCTAGTCTAAAAGATAATAAAATATTAGTTTTCTTAACATGAAAGTAAAATTTTACTTTATTTCAGAGTAAACTTTTACTGTATTGCAAAGTAAAATTTACTCTAAATTGAAAGTAAATTTTACTGTGTTGTTGAATATTTGTCTATGTAGTTTCTTATTTGTTTTTTGAATTGAAAGTAAAATTTTACTTTAAAGTATGTGAGTTCTATAAGAAAACATTTCCAACCTACACCAAAATTTACAACAATACACAAAGTCCTTGCTGCTCATAACGCAATCTTTGTGCAAAAATAATATAACATCACAACTACATCTATTATCAAGTGACAAAATATAAACTGTATCATTGTATTCTATCCATAACAATGTTCCATTCTAATCCATAACAAGTATAACATGTATCACTGTTACTCTTTTAGCATTCTTTCACCTACAATTACTCTTTCAGCATTCCTTCATTTACAAAAAAGCAAAATTACATTCATCATTCACATCAGATACAAAAAAACAATTCTCAAAAGTTGTCCACATCGTCGTCCTTGAAGTCTTATTACTTGGCTATTTTTCTTTTGAGGTTGAACTGTTTCTCACCTCATGCTTTTGAAGAATCATTCAAAAAATCAATGCACTATTAATGCTTGGAAATTGTTCATTTCATCATTTTTCATAGACTTTGCAATATGCTCATCTCTCATGATTTGACGCATGATGTAATATACAATAATTCCGCAATCAACACTGTTAATAGAAATCAAAATCTTGTTAAATTTACTCAAATTTGAAAATCAACAAAATCATAAAGCTTACCATTTCTAATATATAAACAAAGAATATTCATGAAGCCAAAGAAAAAAAAAATAGGGAAAAATAAACAAACATTGTAATGAAACAGTAAATTTTATTGTGCAAGTAAAATTTTACTCTGTTTAGAAGTAAAATATTACTCTCATTGAAAATAAAATTTTACCCTGATTGATTAGCAGTTTTGTTTGTAACATAAATCAATTAAGGCAGCAATCAAGCAGGCAAGCATCTACACTATCACTTACTTTTGAAATTAATGTAATTAAATTACATAAAAGCAACAAGAAAAGCAAAATCGAAATCAACCAGGCACACCAAACTGCATCAAAATCGATCATTTCTAGGGTTTCAGTTAAGGTCAAAAGCAATAAGAAATGAAATGAATATCGAACAAACTCACATTATAATCCATATATTGTAATAAAAAAAAATTCCACTATTATCAACACAAAACAAAGATAAAATCCATTCATCTGACATTTAAGCAAATTAAAACATCACAATGCCAAAAAAAAACATACAAATAGTATAAGAGAATAAACTTTATTTTTCATTAATTAGAGTAAAATTTTACTATTACGAAAACAGAGTACATAAATGAATTATAGTCGAATTTTACTTTAGATATATGAACAAATAAACATAAAATCCTCAATTTTTCATTGTAATATATCAATTTATTATTTTTTTGACATATGTAAAGTCATTTTATCTCAGATATCAAGTTATTGATCTTAAATATGAGTTCATAGGCATCAAATCTGAAATAGTGATGGTTGACAGTAAAAATGATGGTCACCAACCAACGGTGAGGATGAGTGATGCCAACCGATGATAGAGATGGTGGAGGCGATAAACAACCATTGAATGTGGAGTTCTTGGAGAGAGAAAGAGAGCTGTAAAAGAAATAGAGCTTCTCTAACTTGTGATGGTTGATTTGGAAGTAACGATCGGTAGAAGATGATGAAATTATTCAATAACTTTGAAGTATTCGATAATGGCACTTGAAAATCTCTCATTATGCTTCAATTTTTGCTTCAATTGACAATTTTTGAAGGAGGGTTTTCAAATTAAGGGTTTTTGAAATTTGACAATTTTCAAACGAAAAAAAACAAAAGAGACAAACAGTTCAACTGCTTAGTATTACTCATATATATGCAAGGATATTTCTATCTTTTTAACTTATTTTTTAGGGTAAATTACACTTACACCCCCTGAGGTTTGGGTTTAATACAGTTTACCCCCCAATATCTGGGAAATTATACTAACCCCACTGTTATTGTAATTATTTAGACGAAACGAAGATATTGAACTCATGCACTCTCTCTTTTTTTATTTTGTTTTACTTTCTCATTTTTTCCCCTTTCCTTTACTTTTTTTTTTAATTTAATTTCATTTGTTTCTCTACTAGAAGTTGTTGTCTTTTATATAAGCAGTGAAATTTGTAAAATGAAACTATTAACCACAGAGATGAGAATGTAATTTTCAAAACATCAGTGGGTAGTAATTGAATTAAATCTCAAAGAGTGTCAATATAATTTATCCTATTTTTTAATTTTGAGAAATTTTGACCACATTAATTTATTTCATATCTTTTACGCGAAAAAAAACAAAAAAACAAACAAACAAAACGCCAATAAGAAGGGGTTCTCACTAAAAAAATAAATAAAATAAAAGGTTGGTGGCATAGTATCCGACACCAACCCCAAACCAAGTCCAACCAAACCAAAGCAGCAGCCAGTCACCCACCCACCACCGACTCTTCCCATTTCCCTTTTCCATCCCTTCTGCACTCCACTCTGTTTGCTGTGCGTCTCTCTCTCTCTCTCTCTCTTTCCAACCTCAACATCAACACCATGTCTTCCATTTCCAAGCTCTCAAATCCAAACCCTACTTATTTGCCGACTTCGTTTAATCCCAAATCTTTCCTTCCTAAATGTTTGATCGACATCAATGCCAACAGCAGTGCTTTTACTAAAAGAGTTTCATCATCCAGGCTATCTGTGTCTACTAATCATGCTTTCAGGGGTTCCTTGGTGTAAGTTTCTCTACCATTATTTATAATATAAGCATAAACATATGATATTCTTTCAACACATTTGGTTCGATTTGGTGGGTTGGTGAACTTTGATTTGCTTACTGATCAATAGTAATAATAGTGATAATAATTTTAAATAATAATAATAATAGTAAATAATACTAAGAATGATTGCTTGATCTTTGTCAATGCTTGGATCGTATGATATCTGCTTTGACGATTTGTGATGTTCAAGTTTGTCCATGGTGAGTGATAACTGTTGTTCTTTTTAGCTCAGAAAAGACATTTCTGAGTGTGCCTAGCTCAGTTCCTCTTCAGTTTTCCAGTGACTTTCTTTTTCCTATTTTAACGAGTAATGCTAGGATCATGAAAAAAAATATCATGAAAATAATCATAAAAGATTCTTCACCTTTATATTATGGGATATTTTTTTTAAGGTCCTTGATATTATGATTTTATAGTATAAAGGATATCAAATATTTTCATGATGTCTAAAGTCTTTCAACATCAATCAAGAGAAGTCAGAGAAAATTCAAGTCAGAGAAAATTGGTCCAAAGAAATTTTGAATTTCTCTGGCCTCCCCAGACCCAGAGAAATTCTCAGACAAAGGGGATCTTCAACTCCTACATTTGAACTCTCTTCCACCTAAGCTGTTAGAAAACCACCTTCAACAAGCAGTTATGTCCCATGAATATGTCTGTGAACAGGTGGGGCATCAAAAGTTTTAACCACTTCCATCCATGGTTTGTCTACGATCAACACAGATTTTTTTGAAAGATGTCCAACAAATAAAACAGGGTCTCTGAAAGCACAAAATTCAAAATTCTTTCTACCATTGTGTTTCATATCCAATTCATGGCCTTTATATTTCCGCTTCAGTCTTCCATTAATGGGAGAGTTTTGCAACTTCTTCAGCACCGGATCATGACCATTTGCCAAGTCATTGTCATCATCTCGATCAACTGGTAACCCAAAGTCAATCAAGCACATTGCCCTTTATTTTCAGAGATTCTCTCACCCAGAGAATTTCTCTGGACTCCACAACCCAGAGAAAATTCCCGAACATATTTCCAGAGAAATTCTCTCAACCCAGAGAATTTCTTTGGACTCCACAACCCAGAGAAAATCCAGGAGCTTGCTTAATCCACCGAATAATTTCTCGTTGAAGAAAATCTGAGTAATCAAACCTCAAACATGACTAGTCTCTTACCAGGAGGAGGAGAACCCAGCAAATGGCATCACTGGCCATCTTCTCTATTCCAAAAATACCATGCAAAACCAGATCCTCATACCTGACTTCATTTTCTACACAAATGCAAAGCTTCGTCTAACAGCTGACTCGGGCCGAAGATTCCAACCAAATTCGCTCAGTATACTGTTGTCTCTATCGTTGCCGAAGAAGTAAACACTGTCCGAGTCAGCATTGAATGTCCAGCTCGACTCGGTAATCGTTGGATCGACTCTGTCCTTATCATCCTCATCAATGCCGAGTTTGGTGGCGATAGGGGACAACCAGTGAGGAGCAAGGTCGTAAATGATCCAATCAGGTGCGGAAGCTTGAAGGAAGCCAGCCAACCCAGTCTCGAGTTCGTCGAAGGCTTTCTTCAGGTAAGGAATATGGTCGGAGGGGACGTCCATGGTGGCCTCTGCGTTTTCATGGAGGTGGTCGTCGACGCGGGTCAGATGATGAAGATAGTATAAAGGACTGAAATTTCTCTGATATATGTTTAGGGACCTTAGACATCAAAAAATAATTTTGTAGATCTCTTCCATTACGAAAAGTGGAAGAGGGACCCTAGACCGATTTTCCCTTATATTATACCTATAATAAAATACCACACATTAATCAAATGATGAAAAATTTTCATGACACATTTCATGGTATTTTTTTTTTCATGATTCCTAACATTATTCACAAAGAACAGCTATAGTACGCAAATTTGGTTTTGAGGTACCATACATGAAATTAATTACTAGCCATTAGATGCACTCTTTCAATCTGGGCCATCCATTCAATAGCTTTATAACCGGTTGTAGCCTGTAAAAAACCAAATGGAATTAATTGAAAACTGCGGTAACATGATAATGCTTCTACTTTTTCATTAAATAAGGATAAGTTAATTTATGTAATAATCCTAAGTTTTGGAAGAAAAAGAACAGTGGTAATTAATTGATTACTTTTTTTTATTATATAGATTTGATTCATATAAGATATTATAATGAACCCTAATGAATTATAATCATAATAATGAAAATCAAATACGAAGTCCAATTACTACATGAAGAATAAGACCTACGCTGGTGAGAAAATTCGAACTATTGACCTCCTATTGAGGTGTAGAAATTTTGGCCAATCAAACTAACTCTATTTATTTTGCATCTAATTAATTGAAAAAAATCAGCCATTACCCTTTCAATTATATATCGCCTTATTCCAAATTAACTTCAATTTAATCAAATTAAGTTCAAAGTAATTATTTTATTATTTTAATCAAATCAAACAATTTAAGTTAATTGTCTAGCCATTATAATTAAATCAAGGGGTATAGTAATAAATCCTATATCCATGACTTATGGATCATTTAGTCCTATAAATATTTTTATAGACTTATAAGATTAAAATCTCTCAAATGAAACATGCCCACATTTTGAAACATAATAAGACAATAAAACTAAATCAATTGAACCAAATTCATGAGACTTACTTTTTTATATATGATTTTACTTGTCATTCATTTTTGTTTATTGAACCAAATCAATCATTTGTCCACTAAATATGATTTTACTTGTCATTCAAATTTTTTTTTTTGGTGCAAAAAATAGATATGTAAATAAGTTACTCCACATATTCGTCAAAGAGTATTGCCTCTTTTGAAATCCCTCAAATGAAACATGCCCACATTTGGAAACATAATAAGACAATAAAACTAAATCAATTGAACCAAATTCATGAGACTTACTTTTTTTATATATGATTTTACTTGTCATTCATTTTTGTTTATTGAACCAAATCAATCATTTGTCCACTAAATATGATTTTACTTGTCATTCAATTTTTTTTTTTTGGTGCAAAAAATAGATATGTAAATAAGTTACTCCACATATTCGTCAAAGAGTATTGCCTCTTTAACACCCCAAAACACATCTATAAGAGTATAAGAAAATTAATTAGATGAGACTAAATTCTAAGTAATATTAGAATTATTGTAAGTTTTGTCATACTAAATAATCATATTGAGTGACAACTACGTACTATAAACATTCCTATCGCTGTTCTTCTTATAGTAAATATACAAATATATATATATATATATATATATAATAAAATAGAAGTGATAAGTAGAATTATAATAAATAGTAAGTAGAATCAAAATAAATGACAAATATTGTATTTATAAATGAGAAGTATTCAATGAAACTCTACTTACTATTCAATCATATTCCACTTATTATTGAATGATAATTAAGATGAAAACGACTTATAAGGAGAATGAGTGATAAGTAGGTTGAAAATAAATTATAAGTAGATTTAGAATGAATGGTTATACAAAAAAATAAAAATGATGAAATATTAAGTGATAAGTAGTGTTACAATGAATGCTAAGTAAAATTAGAAAATATTTTGTTTAGTAAATATGCACCCTATCACAAAATGTGTAATTTTACCATAAAATTTCGTAATATCAATTACAAAATGTGTAACCTCGCTACAAATTGGCTTACTATAGACTTTACTTACTACTCAATCATACTCCACTTACTATTTAATCAAACCCCACTTACTACTCAATGAGCTTCCACTTACTATTTCATTACACTTCACTAACTACTCAATTTAGGTTTCACTCACTACTCAATGAGCTTCCACTTGCTACTTCACTATACTTCACTTATTACTTAATGAGCTTTCACTCACTACTTTATTACACTCACTTACTACGCAATGAGCTTCCACTCACTACTTCATTACACTTAACTTACTACTCAATGAGTTTCCATTAACTATTTCATTACACTTCACTTACTGCTCAATTTTGATTTCACTTACTACTCAATGAGCTTTCACTTGCTACTTCAGTAGACTCTACTTGCTATTCAATGAGCTTCCAATTATTATTTCATTACACTTCACTTACTACTCAATTTTGGTTAATGAATTTCTACTTACTACTTTAGTAGACCCTATTTACTACTCAATGAGCTTTCACTTACTACTTCACTAGACTTCATTTATTACTCAAATGCTATTTCAAACACATCTTTTTTAGTTAATTGATACATACACTTAAAATCTTTTTCGGTTGGTAGATCATCGGAACTAACGATATTCTCTTGATTTCCAATGTTGTACTCACCAGTGTCAATATTATTGTCATCATCCCAATATTGTCTTTCATCTATGTGAAGTATTAGGGGTGTTCACGGGTCGAGTCGGCTCGGGTTCACCCCCTAACCGCTAGCCGAACCGAACATGTCGGGTGAGAATATGAATCACCCGCTTTCGACCGCCATACTAGTCGAAATCGTTCGAACCAAGCGATTCGGTTTGACGGTCAGATCGGAGGGATAATGCATACAAACCAATTTTTTTTTTTTTTCACATTCAAACAAAACTCAAAATAAAAAATATATACAATCCAAATACATAAATACTGATCTAGACCAAATCTGAAAAAGTGATATTGAAAAAAAAAAATTTAATAATAGCGAGGCTATACCCACACATCATCGCACAATTATCATCGTCACTTGACACCATCGCCAAGCATGAGTGTTCAAAAATCAAGAGTGAGGGAGAGAGAGAGTTATAACTACAATTGATCAATCATCGTCATCAATTTTAACAATCCAAAGCTTGCACTTCACTAAAGGGCTTTGGTAGAGCTTAGATATCCATTGCCCCACTGTGTGTATGAAAGAAAAAAAAAAAAAAATTGAGAGAGAGAGAAGAAACGAAATGGTCAAGAAAGAGGGAGAGGCAGACGAGAGGTTTATTGAGAGACAGAGATATCATTGTGCAAGAGAGAAGGAAAAAATTGAGAGAGAGAGAGAGATGAAACGGTCAAAAAAAAGGGTTGAGAAGGAAAATGTAGACGAGAGAGAGCTAATAGAAATTGGTCAGGTGCATTGGTGATGAATAAAGTTAGAAAGACATTCTTGGGATATGGGAGGACAGAGGAGAGAGTTAGATAGAGGATGGAAAAAAAAAATATATATTTGAAATATATTAATTTATTATTTTTAATAAATTTTAATTTATCAATTATTTTATTATGTAAAATTTAGTTTCAATGTAATATCATTAAAAATTATTTAAAAATAACAAATTAAAAAGATATAGCATTAAACTTAGTCAGAAATTGTATTGGTAATATAATAAATTTAAAATTATTCTAAGGATGTAGGTATAAGTCTTTGAGAATAGGGGATACAGGTCATTTCTTGGGAAGATAACCTTGGGAAGACAAAAAGCTTCTTGGGAAGGTAAAGGTCTCTGTTGGAAATTGGTATTATATATGAACCTTGACAAATTCATATCTACTGTATAAAAATAATTCGGACGGGTCAGGTTTAGCAATTTTTTATTTATTAAGACCGACACTCGACCGACACCTGTAGAAATTTCAAAAATCTGAACCGCAACCGACCGAACTAATGGTCGAAACCGTCCGTATTGCCTTCGGATCGGGTGGTTCGAGTCGGATTTGTCGGGTGATTCGGATCTATGAACAGCCCTATTAAGTATAATAAAATTAATTAGATCAAACCAAATGGTAAATGATATTACAATTAGTTAATGAGACTCTACTTATCATTAGACTTCACTTACTACTCAGTTAAATTGTACTTATTACTTAATGAGCTTCCACTTACTATTTCATTAGATTTTATTTACTATATCATTAGATTTTACTTACTACTCAATTAAATTCCACTTACTACTCAAGTAGTAAGTGAAAACTCATTAAGTAGTAAGTGCAGTGCACTGAACTAGTAAGTGGAAGCTCATTAAGTAGTAAGTGAAACCAAAATTGAGTAGTAAGTGAATTGTAATGAAGTAATAAGTGGAAGCTCATTGGGTAGTTAGTGGGGTTTAGTGAAATAGTAAGTGAAAGGTCATTGAGTAGTAAATAGAGTCTACTGAAATAGTGAGTGGAAATTCATTAAGTAGTAAGTGAAGTGTAATGAAATAATAATTGGAAGCTCATTGAATAGTAAGTAGAGTCTACTAAAGTAGCAAGTGAAAGCTCATTGAGTAGTAAGTGAAATCAAAATTAAGCAATAAGTAAAGTGTAATGAAATAGTTAGTGGAAACTCATTGAGTAGTAAGTGAAATGTAATGAAATAGTTCATATATAATGTTATTCTTGTTTTGCTTAGTGTTGTCTTCCATCTGCAATAAGCATAAACAAATTAATTAAGAAAAAGAAGTGAAAAATGGTAAGTACAATACTAGGTGGTAAAATGGATGATAAGTGATAAGTTGAGTCACAAAGAGTTGCAAGTAGAATGAGAATGAATGGTAAGTGTTGTGTTTTTGAATGGTAATTAAACTCATTTAAACCACACTTATTACTCAATAAGACTGTATTTACTACTTTATCAGACTTGACTTACCACTCATTTGAATCACACTGACTACTCAATGAGACTCTACTTACTAGGTGGTAAAATGGATAGTCAGTGGTAAGTTGAGTGACAAACAGTTACAAGTAGAATGAGAATGAATGGTAAGTGTTATGTTTTTCAATGGTAATTAAACTCATTTAAACCACACTTATTACTCAATAAGACTGTACTTACTACTTTATTAGACTTGACTTACCACTCATTTGAATCACACTTACTATGCAATGAGACTCTACTTACTACTTTATCAAACTTGACTTATCAGTCATTTAAACGACACTTACTACTCAATAAGACTCTACTTACTATTTTATCAGACTTGACTTAACACTCAGGCCTCGTTTGGGAACATGCTTTTTTAGTAACTTTTTAGCTTTTGGCTAAAATATGATGTAAAAAAAACTAGCATGTTTGGAATGACTTTTTGGCTTTTTACGAAAAGATGTGCAAAAAGTAGAGAGAAAATGGAATCTTTGACTTTTTTGTATAAGTTGGCTTTTTGGCTTTTTTAGTAACTTTTTGACTTTTTGGCTAAAAAAATCACTTGCCAAACGAGGCCTCATTTAAACCACACTACTCAATGAGACTGTACTTACTACTTCATCGGAATCACACTTACTGCTCAATGAGACTCTACTTACTACTTTATCAAACTTGACTTATCAGCCATTTAAACCACACTTACTAGTCAATGAGACTAGGCTTACTATTTCATTAGACTTGACTTAGCACTCATTTGAATCACACTTACTACTCAATGAGACTCTCCTTACTACTTTATCAGACTTGACTTACCACTTTTTGACTTTTTATGGAAAAATGTGTAATAAAAAATTGTAAAAATTAGTTTGTAGGGGAAAATTAGAATTGGGAATTGTGCAGCCGTAATTGTTGACTTTTGGTGAATAGTGATGACTTTGTAACTTTTTGAGTAACTTTTTGGCTTTTTGGCTTTTTTTAAACTACCCAAACTTGGCCTAGGCTTACTATTTCATTAGACTTGACTTAGCACTCATTTGAATCACACTTACTACTCAATGAGACTCTCCTTACTACTTTATCAGACTTGACTTACCACTTATTTAAGCCACACTTACTAGTCAATGAGACTGAGCTTACTATTTCATTAGACTTGACTTACTACTCATTTGAATCACACTTATTACTCAATGAGACTCTTCTTACTACTTTATTAGACTTGACTTACTACTCATTTAAGCCACACTTACTACTCAATGAGACTACATTTACTATTTCATCAAACTTGATTTTTTTTTTTTTTCTTACCACTTGAATCTCATAATTTTTCTTTTAACTGGGTGAAATGTTGTTCCAACAAAACATAAAAATTTATAAATTCAAAATATAACGAAAGTGAAAGTAAAAAGAGAGAGACTTACCTAAGGAGTTCCGAATCAACAAAAATTCTATCTTAAAATCTTCAAAAGTTTTAGAAATCAACATCAAATTTTGTTTATGGAATCCTCAAATGAATTTGAAATTTTCCTTTATTTTGTTAATCATATTTTTTCATTAATTGCATTTATTATTTTCAAGTGTAGGGTTTCATTTATTGCCATTAAGTAGATAAATAAATAAATAAAAATCATATTTCATAAAATGTAATAAATTATAATAAAATGTATAAAATTCACATTTATTTTGTATATTTTTTTCTTCAATTCTATTTTATAAATTTAATATTTATTTTAGAGGTTTTGAAAATATATTATAACTTAATTTTTTAGTTTACCTGTTACCTGAATAGCAGGTTAAGTGTATTTTATTAATAATTGAATGGTAAGTATAGTTATTAAAAATAGTAAGTATAATCATATCAAATAGTAAGTGTACTTATAGCTATTGTGGTAAGTTGAAAACCACTTTTTGGTTTCAAAACCATTGAAAAACTACCTTCTTTTTTTACGAAACTACCTAGATTTCTTAACCTGGTTTTAATTATTACCAATCAGTGGTTAGATTTATTTTACTTTTAGATCTAATGGTCCAAATTTATTTATGTATGATACATGAAAACCACCTTCATGTATCATAGAAAAATCCTTCGTTAAAAAGACAGACAAGGTGGTTGGAAGCTTGTGACTTCTTCTTCTTCTTCTTCTTCTTCTTCTTCTTCTTCTTCTTCTTCTGAGTGTCTTGACTTCATCATAATAAACCATAAATAAATCATATGCTGATTGCATTGAATTGCTTAATACAAATGTTGTTCCATTCCAATTCTTGAGGCCTATTTGAGTTTGATGCCATTCTAGATTACATGTGGAGATTTCCAGCTCCTTTTGTTGGAAATAAATAAGCATAATATGACATCTTTTTGAGTCACATCACCTTTCTATTTTTTGCACATCTTTTCGTAAAAACTCAAAAAGTACACTTATTTAGATCATCCCAAACCATCCATTAATAAAGAAAACTATATATATATGTATTATTTATTTATTAAAAGGATTGTTATTTTCTGCTTCTGTTGTTACCTTATTGTGGCAGTTGTGGTACTTCTTCACTTTTTTTCTTTATATCATATTCTATTTCTTGTGTCCTTCCCCCTGTTGTAAAGATGCATAGTTTGTACTTTGTATTGAATAAGTTATTATATAGTGTCAGATGTTCCCAACTTGACGGAAATGGAAGCCAAATCAAGAGAACAGTTCTTCATGATCTTTATGAGAAAGAAGGGCAGAGTCCATGGTATGATAACCTGTGTCGCCCTGTTACGGATCTGCTTCCATTGATTTCTAGTGGTGTCAGAGGCGTAACCAGCAACCCAGCGGTAATTACACAATTAACCTTCTTTTTTTTTAAACATGAAAGCAAAAAGGAAAGCGGTAAATTGAAATAAAGTAATCATGGTTAGACGAACAAAGTTGTTTTAAACGCATTTCTTTGTACTCTGCGTTCATGAGTTGTAAGTTCATGTGATAAGCTGTTAAATATATATAGCATTGCAGATTTTCCAGAAAGCAATATCAACATCAAATGCTTACAATGAACAATTCAGGTATTGTTGATTATATAATTTATTGTCAAGTATCTTGTTTATAACAGGAGTGGATTATATGATTAATTGCACTCTCATGATAACCTAGAGGATCCTTAAGTCAGGGCAGAGGTTATTACTTGGGTGAATTGTTGTGAACAGAAATCCCCCTGCAGTTGTAAATGCTTAGGAGATGATAATGGGAGGGAAGGGTACCGTAGCTTTAGGCTTTGTGTCACCACAAGGTCACTTTTGTCTAAAACAACACATGTTGGAGGTGGTTTTAAAAAATTCACAAGGTTAAAGTGTTTTGTTTTACTATTTTAATTCAAGATTCTTTTAAATATGTGATTAGTGGAAGATGGTTGGTTTGTAAGTAAGGGGTATTAGAATTAATTATCCAGAAAAGTAGTTAAATGTTTGTTGGGAATGTTTCATTTTTCATCAAAAAACTCAGTTGGGTCTGTTGACTGAGGCAACTTCACATATCTAGATTTTGGGTCAGTTTTTTGTTCTCTTTGTCACAAAACCAATATCCCAGCTTAGTGCTCTACAATGTTTTTAACTTAATGGATGGCTTTGCAGAGAACTTATAGAAGCAGGAAAAGACATTGAAAGTGCATACTGGGAACTTGTGGTGAGGGATATTCAAGATGCTTGCAAACTTTTTGAGCCAATCTATGATCAAACAGATGCAGGTGATGGCTATGTTTCTGTTGAAGTTTCTCCCCGACTTGCTGATGATACTGAAGGGACTGTTGAGGCTGCAAAATGGCTTCATAAAGTGGTTGATCGTCCCAATGTCTACATAAAGATTCCTGCTACAGCTGAATGTATTCCTTCAATCAAGGAAGTTATTTCACTTGGCATAAGCGTCAATGTTACTGTAAGTTGATTCTGTGCATCCTTAATTTGGCTAACTATACAATCTATTAAATGGGAAAAATAATTAGTTCTTTTGATAACTATGCTACTCTTTGGTATGTAGAATTATTAGTCATTACATTCTGTAATAACTTAACTATAAAATTGAATGATTTTCAATTCACAGAATGATCCGGAGACTTTAATTCGTAGTCCTTTTTTATTTTGTTTTCTTCCTCTTATTTATTTATATAGGGTGGGTGAGTGTGGGCAGGGGAATGAGGGATATAAGTCAGATTATTTTTTGTTAAATTGTTGTCTTGGGAGTCACACAACTTGGATTTTGGGTTGCCTCATTAATTAGTGAAGGTTGTGTTCTAAGAGCAATCACATCATTGCACTCGAGCATCAACTGTGGGGAGTAGGATTGTGAATCCAGCCTTGGGATTTCTGATGTATTAGGATTTTGATAAATAGTTCTGTTTGTTCTGTTAGCTATACATGGCTGAAAACTACTGACCAAACAACAATTAGCACTAGCGTGTTTCTATGCCTTATTTAGCCTTCGTTTGGCATAAGCTAAAATGGGGCTTTTTGGCTAAAATAGCCACAAAAGGACAAAATAGGTTTTTTAGCCCAATAAGACAATATGTCACATTCAAATCATAATCATTTAATTTTTTCTTTCACAAAAGTCCAAAAAGCCAAAAAGCATATCCCAAATGAGGTTTTTTAGCCCCGAGCTAAAATAGCCAAAAATCCAACCCACATTTCAAACGAACCTTTAGTTTGAAACGTCCAGAAAAATGTTGTAGGCGGTTTTATTTTTTTGGTATTGTCCTAATTATAAGCTTCTTTGGTGTATATGTGCAGCTCATATTCTCCCTCGCTAGATATGAAGCGGTAATTGATGCTTACTTGGATGGCCTTGAGGACTCTGGGCTAAATGATCTCTCCAGGGTTACAAGTGTTGCTTCCTTCTTCGTTAGTCGGGTAGACACACTTGCTGACAAAATGCTTGAGAAGATTGGAACACCAGAGGCCCTTGATCTCCGAGGAAAGGTAACTAAAATACATAGTTAAAATTCCTCTCTCCAGAGGCCCTTCATGATACGCTTCTGTCATGTAACTTATTTACTGTTCTAGGCTGCGAATGCTCAAGCAGCTTTGGCATATAAGCTCTACCAGAAGAAATTCTCTGGTCCCAGATGGGAGGCTCTGGTGAAGAAAGGTGCCAAGAAGCAGAGGCTATTGTGGGCATCCACCAGTGTCAAGAACCCCGCTTACCCTGACACTTTATATGTTGCCCCTCTCATTGGACCCGACACAGTGAGCAATTTTCTTTTTCTTTTTCTTTTTGTTTTTTAATGAAAAAATGAAATAAAATAAAAGAAAAAACTTTTCTCTCATGCTGGTTAGTAATTGTCCTTGACACTGAGAAAAGGTATGAAATTCCATTTCTTTAAACTGCTTCAAGAATAATGTTATTTGTTTTTGGTTTTCTGTCAATTGCTATTGGGTAGGTTTCAACCATGCCTGACCAAGCACTCCAAGCATTTATTGACCATGGGATTGTGTCGAGGACAATTGATTCAAATGTATATGAAGCTGAAGGCATCTATAATGCCCTTGAGAAGTTGGGGATAGAATGGGGATATGTTGGTTCTCAGCTTGAAGTTGAGGGAGTGGATTCTTTCAAGAAGAGCTTTGAGAGCCTGCTTGATAGTCTTCAAGAGAAGGCAAACTCTCTTAAACTCGTTAGCCTGTAAGCAGTGTGGTTTCTGTTGCTATTGTCAAGACAACTCAATAAAAGAAATTTCAGGGTTCTTTCTCCTGCTGTAGAGGTTGTTGATAGTGTGTATGCCATGTAAGAGAATATTGATGTAGCATTAATGAGTTTGATAAAGCTTCTATGCAAGTGAGAACTTCTGTTTATTGTGGTCCCTTTATGATTTTTTTTTTTTTTAAACTCCTTTGAAATGTTTTTTTTGGGGTGATATAAATGAGAGACAAAATCATCTATGGGTGATATCAGTACGTGGTGACAGGATGGAGAACATTCAAGTGTGAAAATGGTCTTTGCTGGAATTTCACTGTTGGTGGTGGTGGAAATGGGTATCCCATCCCATCCCAGTCCTAGTGTATTCTTCTCCGGGTGAGCACAGGTTTGATGAGTTAATTGACTGGATGATCATGTGTTCTTGGCAGGACTTTAAAGGGTTCGTGAGTATGATATTGACTGCTTACTATTTCCTTCATATGACTGTGAAACAGAGATGAAACTGTCAAGCATATCTACCAATCTGCTTTGCTGAATTGTTGTCGTTGAAAACACGGGGCAGCTTCCACAGTTTTCTTTTTTTCTTTTATTTTTTGTAATTATTATTTTAGGATGTGGAATGTCTAGAGATAGAGAGGTTCAGTCAAAATATCAGTGACTGCCAACTGCAAAATGCATCACCAAGAACATTTCACAAACAGTAGCAGTTCACACACAGACACATCACCATTGACATCATTACACAGCAGCACACATGGGCATGAAGACACAAAACCCATCCCTCTCTTCTCTCTCTTTCGCATGGAAGATCACCCCTTTGCAGCTCTAAATCTGGGGCGACACACGGCACAAAGAGACCCACACACATATACTCAACACACCCAGCAAACACACAACACACGATAGAGATTCACACACACGCGGTTTTAGAGAGAGAGCATTACACCAAACCCAGCTTTCTCACTTTCGGCATCAACCCACTGAGCTTCACCTTAGACACGATACACAAAAGCTTCATACGCCCACAAAGCTTGACACCACACATACCTACACACTCTCTCTACATCTCTCTCTCACTGCTACACAAAACACACACACACTGCCACCTCTCTCTCTCGGTGCTATCACACAGAACCAACCCACACACCATACATTCACACCCCCATACAGACAGCACGACACAGACCCACACCACTCACATTTTTCGAAGCTCTCTCTCTCTCTTTCACTTCCCGTGGTCTCCAGATGCACTTTATGATGAAAACATTCTTTTTTAATCAACCCACTCCTTCTCTCTCCGGTCCCTTTTTCACTCCACCAGACCCACTTTAATCATATTCATCATTTGCCTTAATTTATTCCACCCACCAGCGCACATGCTTTCTCCATTAATACATTTTTTTTTTATTATTATTATTATTTTTATTATTCTTAACACCAAAAAAAAAAAAAAAAAAAAAACCCTTTTCCCTTTTTTTTTTTTTTTTTTTTTTTTTTTTAACATCTCTTCTTTGTGTTGAGCTGATTTACTCCACTTTATCAATTCCTTTGTTTCAACCTCAAATAGGTTTTCTATCTTCACACTATTTGAAGTTTGAGGGGGGTTATACATATATCATGGTGAGTATGGTTACACACCATGGGAACCACTCAAGCTGGTGAGCATGGTTATACACCATGGGAACCACCCATGCCACCCCATGGCGCACTCCCTAAGTCGCCCCCTTGGTGCACCAACCACATCTTTACATCGGTCCGGCATGACCCGTAAACTGTCCGACATTGATTCCGGTCAGCTTCTACAACGGTCCAGCATGACCCGTAAACTGTCCCGACATTGATTCCGGTCAGCTTCTACAAACCGCCCGGTAAATGCCCGTAAACTGTCCCGACATTGATTCCGGTTAGCTCCTACAACGGTCTGACACGACCATACAGTGTCTTCACCAACGGTTCGACACGATCATACAGTGTCTCCTATCCTATTTTATTTTCCTGTTTTGTTACTCTCTCCAAACTCAAGTTGGTTAGTACCTATCCTCCTTGAATTTGAGGGGGGTTGTTAGTGTAATATTAGTGTGCAATATCTAGTGTAATATTAGTGTGCAATATCTAGCTGTCCAACTGTCCCACTAATGATAATGTTTCTGCTTTTGGTGTGTGTTAATTAGTATCCTATGTGTATCACCTTTCCTCTCTATAAATGAGAGTGTTGTAAATCATATCAATATATAATATTCATCAATACAATTTATTCTCTCCTTCTCTCTCTATCAATTTATCTTACACTATATTTGGGTGTTTGAATTAAAAAATAAAATAAAAAATGCGGCAAATGACACCTCATCCACCTCCAACTAATGACGTTGGAGCTCTGTCTTTCCACTTTGCATGGATTTTGATTCTCTCTTTTTTCTTATGCAATAAATAATAAATTCACAGTTAAACTGGAATTCTGAACTTCCTCAATCCCAACCTCTCAGGCATGTGTTAGTGGTCTGGTTAAACCTGTCTTTTTAACTCCCTACCTCAGCACATTTGGCTTGGTTTCTTGGAAATTAAGCTTCATGTTGAGGTACCATCCCTTGTGTGCATGGGGCCTGTTGTTCGGAAGCTGCATTGATCTTATGCTATTGACCCAGAAATTCAGTATCAGACCTTTTTGTACATCACTTTTTTTTTGGTATCAAAATTCAGTGTCATAAACAGATATAGCAAAATTGCACTTCAGCAGAAGGGACATTCCCCTAACACAAACAAAATGTTGCCAGAACAGCAAAACTGCAAAACACAGCATCCAAAGACTGTTAGTCTAAAAATAGTACTCTTTCTAACCACCATGACAGTATTGAAACCATGTAGCAGATATACTAAAGACTTGCCAAATCTCCAATATATCATTAGCAATTTCCCACTGTAAACACATCTGTCCGTCAATTTGCAACTGCACTCTTAACCTTTCTCCAAGTACTAACTCTAAACCTCACATCTTCAATAACTCTCATAATCAAACCAGTTTTCTTTTTCTCTTACTTTCAGATTATCACTGTCCAGAATACTGGTATTATTATTATTATTGCGAGAAGTTTACAGCTAGTTCCTTATGCATAAAAAAGAGAGATAAGAATGAAGAACCACTTAGAGACCTGAGGAGGGGTCTTACTGCATTGCACCATAACTCAATAGAATAATGTTACTCGAAGGTTGATGTTAAAATCCTATGGATATTTACTCTTATCACCTGCCTGAGTAACCATGAAGATTTTACAGTATATACAATATAGCTTCAAGTTCCTCCTGCATCTGCAGTCTTTGTAACTACACATTTGTCCCCATCATCTCAATAAAATTTTTGCTACTTTTTTGATCTTTAACCTATTACTGTGACTTTACCTTGAACATAGGCAAATGTGCTGAACTTGTTTAATTTAGGTTTTTGGCTGATCTTTACAACAGGCGATTACTGCTCTCAAGAAAGGGGCATATTTGCTTAAGTATGGAAGAAGGGGGAAGCCTAAGTTTTGTCCCTTCCGACTGGCAAATGTAAGTTTGTTTGATGTTTCTAGATATCAATGTGCCTTTCGTACTTCTGTTCATTTATTTGACCACCACCACAATCAACTGCAGCAAGAACAATCCTACTAATAAATGTATATTATTTTATGTTGCTGCTACTGCTTTTGCATTTCATGTAATGATAACCTGGAATTTTTAATTTATTATTATGTTATTTTTAAGTTCTAGAATCTGTAGTTGATATATCATTATTTATGTCCATACTCCTATTATAGTGACCTAAAGATTAGTAATGTCTTTATGCAACTATTTGTCAGTTACCTTTCAAAATGTCAGAGTATTGTTGTGAATTCATGCAGGATACTATAGTCCAAAACACAAGGTGATACTTGTAAATTCAGTAGCTTGTTTCTTAATAAGCAATGGCAACTATTATACCCATAAATGTTTATGATCTTGCTAACATCTGAATCTTGACTGGCACCGAGGACCATTTCTTATAATTATTCTTACACTTCGCCACTTGTTTTTGCATTGATCCATGTACACACCGTGTTCGGTGTGGGGAAGCTAGGTGAGTACTAATCTAGTAACCACAGGGATTTGCTTGCTGCTATTCCCCCATGGTTGTTGTTCAGGACCCTTGATAGTGCCTTCTTTTAAGATTAGCTTATTAACACATTCAGCTTATTATAGTTGTGAGAACTTATTTTTGGCGCTTTGTTTCATTACACATTACAGTGCCAGCAATTAGGGGAAAGGATTATGGCAAGACAAAAATGCGGTACACAGATTACACTGAAACAGAGTCGGGTCTCCAGTATAAGGTCACCTATTGGGATGAACATTTGGGAAACTTCTTTGTCTGATTATCTTCTTACATGGTCGTGTTCTAATTACCTTGTTGTAATTCCAAACTTTAAAAAGAGTGCAGGACTTGCGACAAGGAAGTGGGCCTACGCCAAAGATTGGAGAGACAGTAGTGGTAAGCTAAAAGTTATGTTTGTGCATGGCTTTACAATTTGTAAGCCTGATCGTTTAACTTGAACAAATTTCTAATAAGACAAGGTGCATCAAATGAACTTTGAATGAATCCAGATTGAAAAGAATTTGTACCTTTAATGTTGTCATAGTTTCTCAGCACAACCCCGAAATTCCACTTACTAAAATCTTATTAAATGACTGTCCTTTATACTTCTGTGTTTTTTTAAATGAAAATTTGGAAATTCTGACAGAATGATGGAAACTTTGCTTGTCAAACATTTGATTCTAAACATGATAGTCTAGACTAGACAGGTGGATTTGATCTTTAAAGAGGAAAGAAAGGGAAGAATCTTTATAAAAACTTGGGTGCTTGCTCCATGGCAATGAATACATAGGAGCAAATTTGAAACAATTCCTGTATTGTTAATGCATTTTTAGGTTGATTGGGATGGTTACACCATAGGATACTATGGCCGCATATTTGAAGCTCGAAACAAGACAAAGGGTGGTTCCTTTGAGGTATTGCATGCTTGCCATTTTATGAACAACATTGTTCTATGCTGCTTGATCTAAGATTTATATTTACTGCTTATTAATGTGCAGGGGGATGACAAGGACTTTTACAAATTTAGAATAGGATATCAACAGGTGAAAATTTTGTTCCCAATGTCAAACATTGAACAATTTTGCCCTTTTCAAATGATGAATAGGAAAAAAATAATCCTAGTAAAAAATCTAAATAACCTTTTATCAATCTTAGTGTGCATTGATGCTTGCCTGTCTCATATGGTGTTTTAAAAGTTTTTTATTCGTTACTTTTTTTCCTTCTGTACTCTGGGATTCAGTTGGGGGAGTGGTCACTAGCTATGTTAATGTCGTGATCTTGGAAATCACAATGTATCCTTGTAATATTGTGCTTTAATTCCTGGAATGTTCAGGTGATACCAGCTTTTGAGGAAGCTATTTCAGGCATGGCTCTTGGTGGCATTAGAAGGTGATTTATCTGTCTTCCCGAGCTCAATAATTTGTAGTATGGATCTTTGAGCAATTTATCAGATTAACACACAATGCAGAACACACAAGCATGCATGCATTTCTGTCATGGTGGTGGAATGTTTAAATGGTCCCACTTCATATGATGATATAATTCCTTCATGAAACCTAGCAGAAATGAGAAAGGAAACAGAGTAAGGGTGAACCCTGAATGTGTAGGCGTTGATTCATGAACATCTAAGCTACTAGATATAAAGAGTTGACAATGTTCCTGCTTCTATTAGTTAGTTTGTGTAGACGCTGATTCATGAACATTCAAGTTTACAGGTTCTAGTCGATCCTGTTTCATGAATTGGTGTTCTCTTTTTCTTAAATGAAATTCTCTTGGGGTAATCATAATTGTTACGAGGTTCTCTTTTTCATCCAACATCTGAATTGAGGCCTGATTATAAAATTAGAATTGCAAACTAGTACACCTGTAGAATGTGTCTGTAATGTATGCATGGAATTTCACAGTTAACTGGGTGATAGTGCAGGATCATAGTGCCTCCAGAACTGGGTTACCCTGATAATGACTACAACAAGATGGGGCCAAGACCAACAACATTTTCAGTAATGTTATTTTTATTTTATTTTCCTGGTAATGGATGCAGCACTTTATCTATGGAACTTTCCTTTGATGCTGCTTAATTGTGTTTCACAGGGCCAGAGGGCCTTGGATTTTGTGCTGCGAAACCAAGGATTGATAGACAAAACTCTTTTGTTTGACATTGAGCTCATAAAGATCATACCAAACTGATTGCCTGTCAATTTCAACTTGCATTAGTGGGAATCACCATCTAAAGCTGAGGAGCTCTTTTACTATGCAACAATAAAATCTCGTCTGATCAGAAGTTTTAGCTTTGTCTTTCGATTTTTCAGTTCGAATTTCATCCAGGGAGCAGGAAGATCACAAATATGGAGGGTTCCATTTTCTAAGTGTTAAACATTTATATTAACCTAGACAGATTCTGCATGTGGTTTTCTCCATCTCCCCACCACACACGCAGACACATTATTTATGAACTGAAGCATGGATAGATGCAAATTGCAATTTTTTTTTTACGTAGACTGGTATGTACTACCTCACTTCTTTTCCCTATTTGTTTTCTGCTTTTTTAGTGGGTAAGTGGTTAGTTTTGTACAAAATATATAGATATGTATACATATTACAATGATGCTTAAAACACGATCCCAAGAGTTAACAGAATTTAAGAGAAAATGAAACAATTTTGTCATGCACAATTGGTTCAGAAGAGGTGCCACTGCATGCCTGGATTAAAATGTAAAGCTGAGCATTTGATTAATTGGTCAGATTACCATCCATCCCCTGGAAGTACTTCTGCTTCACCACCAGGATGAACAAGTAGAGACTTTTTTTTGAATGAGAACTAGTAGAGACTATGTTACAGTGATCTCAGTCATTTATGAGGTTTCAAGTACTGTATATGGATTTAGTTCTGGACCTAGTAAATTTTCATTCTCTACAAAGATTGCCAAGATATACCAGAATGGGAATCAAAGTCTTACCCAAAACCCCTATATGCATGGGAGACAAAACAATGTGCTCCAAATTACAAAAATCTGATAAATAGATGAAAACTAGACAATCACAATTCATCAGAAGATGTGAAAGACTACTTCAGACACAGATAGATAAGGGTGACAACACTAACAAAATCAAGACAAACAGATACTGATAACAGAGAGAACAATTTAAACCTGCCTCATTCATGGAGATCTTGCAGGCTTGCAGCAAGGTTGTCCCAGCTAGTTAATAGGAAGTTCTCGGCGCTTGTACCGCACCATAACCTTTCCTTTCACACCCACAACCATGGCATTCCAGTCAATCTCTGGAAAAGGCGATATCAGTTCCAGCTCAAAATTTCTCAGCAAATGGCTCCAAATTGCTTTTATTTGCAGATATGCAAATGGCTCCCCTAGACATCCATGCCTGCCACCACCAAAAGATATATATGAGAATGCCCCAGCTACTTTGTCTTCTTCTCTACCGGGAGCAAATCTGTCCGGATCATACATGTCGGGATCCTTATAAATATGAGGGAGACGATTAGCAAAAGCAGGTGATGTGGCAACAATGTGGCCCTTTGGAATATCATATTCTTTCCCTTCCCTAGTTTTCACACTGAATTCACTGTGGGAGCTACGTAAAAGCATTATCAGAGGAGGGTGCAGTCTCAGGGCTTCCTTGATACACCTATACAAGACTTCCATCTCAGACAAGATATCATGATCAACATTGTTCCCATGCTTTGTCATCAAGTTCTTCTGCTCATCCAACACAGCCGATAAGTACTTCTTGTTACTAAGGAGGTAGGCTCCGGTCCAGGTGGAGGTGATGGAACTGGTGTGCTGCCCAGCAAAGAGAGCAGCAATTAGCAGGCCAGTGACCTCAGACTCGGTTGTTTGGCGACCATCTTTGTACTTTGAGTCCATGAAGCTCTGCAACATGTCATTCTCTGACTTGCCAGTGGATTTACGGGCAGCTATGATGTTTTCAAATATTTCTGCAAGCTTCTTGCGAGCCTGGTCACGACGGCGGTGGGCTGGGATGGGCAGGTATGGGAATATAACACTAATGGGGAGCATCCCATTGTCGAGGTCATGGAAGAGAGCAGACACATCAGCAAAGAGCTTATTGCGTACTTCTTCACCTAATAGACATCTACTGGCTGTCAAGATGATTAGATGCTCCAACTCATATTTCAAATCCACCTCGCCACTATCTCCCCATTTTGAGAAGTATTCCTGCACAGTTTCAGCTCGCATAAAAACAAGGGACCAAAAAGTTTCTACTCTTGCTAATTGAAAAAAGAAAAAGAACGAAGAGAACATCATTTCAAGATAATAATTTGAGGATGTCAAAACAAGAATACCCCCTTTTTATCACTAGGGAGATAGATGAACCGAGCTTGATCAAAGTTAAACAAAATTCATGGATATGCATGGGATGTGTTGTGTAACTGAAATATAAATGACTACCCATCAATTGTCCCCCTTACCAACAACATCGTGAAATTTATATATTAACTGCTTGAGTCCCTGAAATACAAACATCCAATTGAGGTAAAGATCATTCAAGGCTCTGTTTCTCTCAGAAACAAGCTTACTAGGGAGGCTAAAATTAATGCAGATGGAATTGTGACTGAACCACAAATTGTATATCTTAGCATGCTGTGGTCTTAAGGTATCATTTTGAACAGAGAATCAAATAAACGAAAGTAAAGGGCCTTCCAAAGTTATTAACAGAGGAACCAAGCATCAAATACACAGATAAATAAACAGTAAAATTCTGATGGATAACAATAAGCAAGAAAAGGATGAGCTATACCACAGTAACTTTGGATTTGAGATAGTTCAAAATAGTTTTATAAGAGATCAAGTAAGAGCTTGTAAATAACCATCATTAGGAGAAGGGACAGTTAAATTGAGTTCATTTACGCTTGGCATTGTAATTTTTGCACCACCAATTTACTCAAATTTTACGAGGAAAAATTCCAAGTATCATGTTGAAAGTTCAAATCAAGGATTTTCAATAAACTCCAAAGAGAAAAATTGTAAACAGTTTTTAAACCAATCAATGAAACAAACCAGAGAGAAATAATTATGGGAAAAAAAAATCCTAAAACTCGTAACTCAGATTCAAAAATAAAGAGAAACTACATATATATACACACACCTGAGCTTCCATAACCATCTGATCCACATAGCCTTTCAATTTGTTGACTCGGAGAGACTCGGTGAAGAAGCGGAACTGCTCCTGTCGGACAGAGTAATCAACATCGAAGACGACGCCGGGGCCGAAAGTAGGGACGTTGAACTGGTAGACCTCTTGCTGGCTGAGATCGGACTCCGAAGCCTTGAAGAAATGGGCAGATACCTCTGGTCCTATGAAGAAAGTGACGTTCTTGTTCAACAACTTCAAGGTGAACACACTCCCCTGCTTCGGATACTCCTCCCTCAGCATCACCACCGGTCCTCCCAAGAACCGGACCAGCCCTCCCACCACCGGCCACCGCGTTTTCACCACCGGAGGGAGCCGCCGTTTTCCAGATCTCGGAATTACGAATGCAGATATCAGTTTTGCCACCACGATTGTCGCAACAATCAGCACACCCACATTCAACAACTTGTCATTAACTACTTCCATTTCTATTTCTATTTCTATTTCTTTCTTTGTAATTTGAGTACCAATCAACGATCCCGATCTCGATCTCGATTTCGATTTCGATCAATCAACCACCTGTCAAAAATCAAACAAAACAAAAGCATCAAATTAATTAATTAGAACAAGCGAGAGACTGTCCTGTGTGTGAGAGAGTTGGGACAGTGAGTGAGTGAGTGACATGACAGTAGTCATCACTTCATTCATTATTCAGATCTGAGAGAGAGGCAGAGACAGACACACACACACCCATCGTAGTGTAACATCGAATTGAAAGCATTGATTGTATAGTTAAAGAATAAGAAACCTAGATGATGCATTATAAGAGTGTCGTACCAGATTCGAGAACCAGAGGGAAGAGAGAGGATTATCGATTGATCAAGGACGACAGTGATAATAACGTGATGAGAAGAGAGAGACACCCTCAAAGTGGGGTTAAGGTTGCGCACTAATATACACACGTAGAGTAGCCATTTCTATTTATCTATATTATATATTAGGCAAAAGGAAATTTTTAACCCCAATTTTATAGAACCTTTAATCTCTCAATTTAAATTTTTTAATATTTTGATTTAAAAAAAAAATCTTAACATTTATTAATTTCTCTCAACCTCCAAGTGTTACCCTCATAATAACACTTTAATACATTAAGAACAAGCATAAAAAAAAAATTTGAAAAGTCCAACACATATGATTATTATCAAAATATTAAATTTTAATATAATATAATAAAAAAAAAAGATATTTAATTTTTAAAAAGTCCAATACATATGATTATTATCAAAATATTAAATTTTAATATAATATAAAAAAGGAAAAAAAAGACATTTAAAAAAAATATTTAAAAATTGTAATTCACATATATAGATAATTGTAAATATATTAAGAAAAATGAGGTTTCTAAACCCCAAGCTTTGTGGGAGCTCCAATCTCTCAATCTTAATTTTCTAAATTTTTGATTTAAAAATAAAAAAAAAACTCAGCATTTATTGATTTGGTCAAAATTCCCTGATCAGCATTTATTAACTTTTTCCAATCCACATGCCTGCATTTATTGATTTGATCAAAATCCTTGATTAGCATTTAAAATCCCCTCACACAAATAATTATAGATACAGCCCGTGCATAGTTACTGCAGTAACCTTTTTAATTTCTCTTCTATACTATGGTTAGTGATAAGATTGTTAAATTATTTTTATAAAAAATATTAAAAAACATAATTTATATATTAAAAAAAATCTAAAACAAATATAAATATTTATAATTATCTATACTAACTGGGCTCTAAAATTTTGAAAAAATGTAATAACTTATATAATTTTATCATAATTCCCTTCAATTAATTAATTTAAAATTATAATTTTTATTAATTAATTTAGATTTTACATATATTATTGATAATTTTTTAAATTTTACAATTAATAATACAAAATAAAAAATATATTAAGATTATATATCTATTTCAAAACAAAAGGATTATATATTCTTCTAATTTAGTTGGATAATCAATTTCACACTAGGCATATAAATTGTTAATTTTTTTATTATTAATTTTATAATAAAAATGTTCATTCAAAAACTTATTTATATGTATAAATTTTATTAACACGCAAAAGAAATTTAAAATGATTGTTTATGCTTTAACAAGTTTATCATTTTTTTTAAAAATCATCTTTCATAATATAATAACGAAATTAAAACAAATTATAAAAACAAAGCTCCAAAATTTAATGATTTTTTAATTGAAGAGATGAAAGGATAATCGTTCATAATTTAGGGAGATAAAATGTAATTTACGGAGCGCTTTCTAAAATGGCCGGCTTAAGTTTTATATATATATATATTGCTTGGCTGGAGTTGGATCAGAAAGTGGAAGTAAAACAGTGGGCCTATATGGAGCCGGTTGTTTTGTGGACAAGGTTTGTTTGATTTCACAGCTGATCAGCGATGGAGAGAGAGAGAGAGAGAGAGAGAGCCCCTCGTGAATAAGCTGTGTTTGTTTGTGTAAATGAATGAATAATATATATTTGAATTTTGTTAAGGTCTAGGTAGTTGGAGATGAACAAATTTGTTGAGCATATTATTTATGTAAAAACTTAAAGCAATTGGATAATAGTAATAATATGTTTGAATCAATTTTGTATAAAAATAAATGAATGGTAAAAAAATAAATAAAAATAAACAATTCATATAAAATTGATTCAAATACGTAATGTTTGTTATCCGATCAATTTAATTTTTTACATGAATGATGCACTTAACAAATCTGGTGGAGTGAGATGGTTTCGGCGTGGCGAGCCTCTAATCTATGACTCATATAGATATTGCCCTGGAAGGTAGTTGCTTTGCTTTGTTCTACCAGCAAACCAATTTTGCCACAGAAAAGACTACCTTTTGGATTTGAAACCCCATGCCATTAAGGCCTTTTTTTTTTTGACAACTAGTTAAAAATAGTTTTTTTAAATTTTTTTGTAAAAATCATATCACTCCTTTACTGTTTTTGACACATATTTTTTCAAAAAAACTAAAAATAAAAAAATCAGTTTTTAACTTACTCTCACTTTCCAAAACGAGCATAAAACAAGCCTATGTAAAAAAACATCTTCATAACGATACAAATGTAATTAAACAATGAAAAATATAATTTTTATTTTTTTGGTTAGAATGAAAAATATAATGAATTTTTTTTCAAATGTAGGGCCATCTCTAATGTTGCACCAACTCTCACTTTCCGAAACGAGCATTAAACAAACCTAAGTAAAAAAACATCTTCAATAACAATACAAATGGAATTAAACAATGAAAAATATAATTTTTATTTTTTTTGGTTAGAATGAAAAATATAATTATGAGTTTTTTTTCAAAGGCCATCTCTAACATTACACCAAATTCATCACCAAATTCAAATTTAGAGAAAAAGTTCTTTTTTTTATATTCCAATGGTTTCATCAAACTTGTATTAAATTGAGAATATAACAAATGTTTCACCAAACTGATAATGTCTTGCACTTTTCAACAATTTATTGTGCATGGCCGTTGAGTGTTGACCCACCGGACGACCGGACAGACATTCGGCCGAATGTCCCCTCGGATGACCACCTTAAGGCAAAATTTGTGAAAAATTTACATTGACTGGTCGACCCCGATGACCACCTTTGCATCTTTTTTTTTTGAGCTGCCTTCTTTGTTGGTTCAAAAATATGATTTGGGGCAACTTCTAATGAGGCACTTTAATTTAAGGAGGACTTTCATAAACAATAAAAACTAGATTCTCCAATACAGAAAAACAATTTGATCAATATATATATGCAAATCAGATAATCTACTCAGCAAATCCAAAAGAAAGTCTTGTATAATTAATTTGTTATAGTCCATAGTGTTATTGTGGGGACATATTTTCTGAATACCAACACGTGGCATGGTGACGCCGACGTGTCAGCCGAGGTGCCACGTGTCCTGGTAGTTAAGCCGAGGTAATCCCGGATAAGCCGAGGTCATCTCCGAAGATGTCGGAATCCGAAGATAAGGGACAAGAGTCCTGAAGCAAAGAGGGGACTTAATTAAGATAAGGATAAACCTCTTAGGGAGTTTATCTCTATCTCCTAAAGAGTCCAGAGTAAGTACTAAGATTGGGGTACACAGAAGTCATATTTCTAGTTGGACTTGGATTAAGTATATTATAAAAGAGAGGCACCCCCGTGGGTCTAAGGTATGTAATTCATATCTTGAGTATTCAGTTTAATACTTGATTATCCTTGAGAAACATACTGACTTGATCGTCGGAGTGCCCCCGGGTGGAAGAACCACCGCCGGAGCTTTTTCTTTCTGTTACAGGTTGTTGGAGCCATCTATTCTGCCGGTGCTTTGCTGCTGATCACTAAACGGGCAGTGTGGTCAGATTTTTACCCACACAGTTATATATAGCTGTATTCAAACACAGACACACACACACCCATCCATATATATATAATCAATCAGATAAAGGGAATAATTTTGCAATTAACCTCAATTGAAAGACTGATGCTGGAAAGAAGAGAAGAGAAGAGAAATAAACATATTTGTTATAAAGACGAAATATACATTTTTGCTGGTAAAAAAGTAAATAAGACATGGGTTTTTAATTTAGATATTGAGCTCCTAATGATAACTTATTTGATTACGAAACCAAAATCTTATTTATAGTGATTATATATGTTCACATGAAAAAGGTTCTTTCATTGTTTCACTCTTTTAAAATGTGCCAGAGTTCTCCTTTTGTTTTTTGGTAAAAAATTGATGCTTAAATATGATTAGTTCACATAAAAAGCAACTGTGGAACCTAAGTGTATTATTCAATTTTTATCTCTGTTACCATTTTAATTTTTTCTTTAATTATTCTTTGATCATTATTTAATTTTGACTCTCACATATTCTATGATATGCATTTCTGTTGCAGAAAGAATGGATAAGAACAATTGATCTTGGTCCTTTCAAGCACATTGTGAGGAAAGCAGCATTTGATTGTACATTGTTCGACAGTTGTCTTGATCAAGTTTCATCGTTCCACACCTTAAATCTGGTCTGGATGGTGAGTTGCTTACTTTTTTTTCTCATGTTCCCCTATTTGTGAATAATGTTTGAAAACTACTACTTTTCTTTCATGAAATAAAGAGAGAAGAAAAAAGAAAAAAGAAAAAAGAGAAATAATGTCAGAATCTGAAGAAAAAAAAGGGGAAATCATACGAGCAGTGCACTTGTTAAGTTGGATTACGGTTGTCGGTCGACCGGCCAGATGTCCAACCGGTCGTCTCCCAATCAACGTGTGTTTTGATGATAGTTACAAATTCATTATTGGAATAATTGATATCATATAGAGGAATTCATGCTTTTTTTATTCAGATTTGATGAAATATTTGATGAAACGTTAAAAATGCGCTAACCAAACAATGAAAATTTAATAAAAAAATATATATTCTTGTGCAAAATCTTTTCATATAAAATATTTTTCAAAGCCTAGGTTCAATATTATCAACAAAAAAGAGAGTAAGCAGAGAGAGAGAGAGAGTAAAGAGAAAGAGCAGACCCACATTCAACGACTTGCCATCCACTTCTATTTCTTTCTTGTAATTTGAGTACCAATCAACGAGATGAGAGCAGAGATAGTAAAGAGACAGAGCAGATAGATAGAGAGAGAGAGTACCAAATCGGTGATCGGCAAGGCTAGCGGCGGCAAGTTAAGGAGGAGTGCGAGGGGAGATAGAGTAGGGGTGTAACTCGGGGGTTTAGTCGGATTGGTAGGTTGTCTAAGCCCAGCTCAAGTTGTGCTTAGATCTGTCTAGGCCCGAATAATAACATGAGATTGTCTACTCAAGTCTGACCTGAATTAAATCTGAATTATTCAAATTGCCCGAATTACTCGATTGTAAATGAAATTTTAGTATCTCGAATTACTCGAATTGTAAATGAATTTTAGTATTTTTTTTTTTTCAGCTATATTATTAAATTATTAAAATTTAATATCATCAAAATAAATAATTTATATAATATAAGAGAGATGTCGCTATAGTAATTTTTACAATTTATGAATAAAAATAAAAAAAGTAAGATTTTATGTTATTTGTATATATAATATATATTCAATATGATTTAATAATTAAATTACTTTAATATCATGTAATGGCTAATAATTTATGTGTATATTTAATTTTGTTTGAGTTGTTTAACGTCTTTGTCCTAATCCATTCAAATTTAATTCGAGTTTCTGAATTTTTGCCAAAATCTGTATCGAATTTAAAAATATCTTATCTAAGCTCTAAAAAAATTCGAAATAAATTCAGATTACTCAGATTGAGCCCGTCCGAATTGCACCCTTAAAATAGAGTAGATCGAATCTGATGTTGGGATTGTGGAACAGGATTGGCTGAGAATTGATAATTTGCATTTTTAAGCCAATGGCGGGTCGGGTCAGTTTGAAAGCACCAACCGCACCGACCCCTCACCCCAGAATTCCAATCCGTCCAACCCGCTCTGAAAAACAATGCACAATTCAGACCGATTTCGCACAACTCTGACATCGTTGGCAATATTTTGTACAGTCATGAGTAAGAGTTACTTGATAGTCTACATTTAAAAAGAATAATTTAAAATAGATTAGTTTTTTTTTTTTTTTGTCTTTGGGTAATTAAGAGAAATTTTACTTTGGCCTCGTTTGGCAAGAGGTTATTTTAGTCAATTAGTCAAAAAGTTACTAAATTAGCCAAAAAGCCAACAACCCATACCAAAAAGTTATACTTTTTGCACATCTTTTCGTAATTAGTCAAAAAGTCATCCCAAACATACAAGTTTTTTTTACCTACCTTTTTAGCCAAATAGCCAAAAAGTTACTAAATTAGCCTGTTCCCAAACGAGGCCTATACACCCTCTTAAATTTATTTTAACTTTTATCTGCTAAAAAGATTAATTAATAAAATTTTAAATAATTATACATTCTTAATAAATTCATTTTTTTTTTTTGATCCCTTTGGAAATAAGCTATTTTAATTGGTTACTTATTGACTATATTTATGAATTTTTTTTGCTAGATTTGCATAATTTAAATTTTTTTTTTTTGTAAGCTCGTCAAAACTTCATGGCCTTGACAAAAGTACTAAGGCAACATTTGATTTAGTTTCAAATTAATATTTGGATAAAAAAGTCAAAAAAATATGTTTGGGTAATCAATTTATAAAATTATTTTTTCTCTCCTCTCACCTTTTTTTTATTAATAAATAATTAATCAATTCTTTTCTCTCATCTCTCATTCTCTTACACTATACATATCAATAAATCAAATTTTTTTCTCACACCCATTTATTCAACTACAAAAAAAATTAAAAATTTACAAATCATTCCAAAACTATTTTCAAAATACATAACCAAACAAAAATTTTAAACTATTTTAACAACTTATCTTTTAAAATATAACTCAAAATTCTTTTTAAAAACTAAATCAAATGGAGCGTAATTTTTTCCATAGTATTTATCCAAACTTAATAAATGACCAAATTTCATATATTGAACCACCTTGCTAACACAACTGACGAAAAAAACCAAAGATAACCACTCAAGCAAACAACACCCTCCGTAAATGAACAAGAAAGCACACCAATTTTGCTAACACACTACAACTCTAAAAAGAAAAAAGGAAGAGAGAGAGAGAGGAGTTTTTTCGACATTTTGGACCTTACAGCAAGCACTTTGGAGCACTTACAGCTGAATTATGATATCTGCAATGATCATCAACATGGCAATGCAATAGCATCTTCCTCACGTAAAAGAACAAAACAGTGGGAACTAATAGAGAGAGTGAGAGAGAGAGAGAGAGAGACATGATCAAATGATATGAGAATTGTCCAAACTACCTCAGCATGAAGCCCGGAAGCTGAAAGCACTAAGAAAGATTGAAAGAACCGTAAGCAGAAGAAAATTAATTTGGAAGAAGAAAACACAACTGAACATCAACCCCAATGTAGCCTGAATTGCATACCGTAATCCATCACACACCAGATGAAGTGGGGTAAAGACTCCTATAGATAATACACGGATTGCACTTATCTCTCTCTCTCTCTCTCTCTCTCTTGTTTCAAACCAGAAAGGATTATATTATGTGCTAACTTAAGGGGATGTGAGAGGGAATACTGGGAATCAAACAAACCTAGCTACATAGTGGGAGTCTAACCACTAGGACAACTCTGTGCTCACAAAAGTGCACACACTTCGATGCAAGTAAAATTTCAAAATTGAAAGATTATAAGATATGATATTTCAAACATTCAACAATTTCCCTGATTAAGATCAAATCATTTTTCTGAAATAAAACTAGAAAACGTTAAAATAACCTTTTTCCAAACATTTTGAATTCAAAACTTCATATTTGACCAAATATTTTATTTTATAGGTGAATGTTTGTCCCAACCACATTAAAAAAACCAATCTAATGCACATAAGTTTCCTACTTTCACCTACAAAAGTGGAGAATTTATTGTGTTTTTTTTTTTTTTTTTTTGGATAATCTACAAAATTGGAGAATTTTAAAAGGCCAAACTACATAAAACCTCAAAATTTGCAGGGAAGAGCAATAAGGACTTCTTCATGAAGGTCACGAGACGACTCCTTTCCCATCTGTTGGACGTGTAAGAAAAATGTCACTGTTGGACCTCTCCCATCTCATGTCATACCATGATATCCTCAACCTTGGGAGCCGACTTAATGGTACCACCTCCAATGAACACATACAATGTGCAGTCTCTCTGTTTGTAAAATGGATATTACAATCAAAACCGCAATAAAAATACCCTCCCTGTGTAAAAGAGGGTTTGTAGCATGGTAGAGTATATTAACTTCTTGAGACATTAGATTTAACACACTGACACCCACTGGTTGCAAGCCTAATCAACCGATTGCGCATGTTAGACACCAATGATCCCAATAACAGTGCATGTCAATACTCACCCACAGATAAATTAAGCCTAAAGGTGAGTTATCCCCCAATAGGTAGCAATTTGCTAGTTCAATCCACCTAGTGAAGACCTATAAAATTTGACTAGATTTAACCTTCAAATGGTAAGACAAAACACAAACACAAACACAAAAAACAAGTTGCGGAAATCAAGGGAAGGCAGGCAAGACAAAACAATCAAGAACAGAATAATTTAAAGGATTCAATTAAGGATCATCAATTTATTTCCAAAGAAAGAAGTGATTATGAATCATAATAGTAATGACAGGACAACTGTAGACCACAATAGAAGAACTAAACAACTTGACTTCAATTATAATCCTTCAAGCATTCTCATTTCCACTAAAATCAACAAAGCCCTAATGCAAGCTCCCATGATTGATTGGATTCTATATACTGAATAATCATACTCAACTTCTTGTTCTCTATGTATGGAAGCCATTCAAAATTTCTAACTCATGCTTTTACAGAGGTAGCTGCAATTGCCACAGCCTATTTCCTATTTCTTTTTTATAACTTGTAACTCTGCCAACAACTACTTTGGTTTTCAATTAATCCTCAATTTTGCGAATAATTCAAGAGACACAAGTAATAAATGGAAGACGCAAATAACAAAAAATTGCGAAGGCCTGTGCACAATAAGTGAGTTTGCGACTTCACACTGGCTCAACTCAACACAAAAGCACCAAAAACATAGATTAACAACCAAATATTTTATGATTTCAGCTTTCCAAACATTTCAGTCAACTACTCAGGTAATATAACAAAAGCCAATTGAATGCAAAATTTCAGGATCCTGACGAACCACGTAATATTTCAATGTTGATAGACCAAGACTTTCAATCACCCTCAAAATGCTTGGATTTTACAAAGTGTAAGAAGAGGTAAACAACATATGTTGTATAACACACCTCACTCCACAATTTTCTTTTTCTTCCTTGATTTCCTGTCATTAGATTGCTCTAAGGACCCAGAAGAAGTAACCACACTATGACCATGTCCTGAGTCTTGAGTGGACTGGTCCATGGACCTAGTTGGCTCCTCAATATGCCTGCTCTGTGAAGGCTTTGATGGCTCCCCTACCTCAGACAAAGAACTTAAATATTTGCTACTATGCATTGAGGCAGCATTGCTGCCTGCTGATTTTGGGCTTCTTGGCCTGGTACTTTGAGTTTGAGTTGCAAAATGATGGGATGAATTGGTCAAGGAAGTTCCAGAAGATCTCTGATACATCTGCTTCTGATGATTGGTATTCTGTTTCTGAAGTTCACTAGGCTCTGGGTAATGAACAAGGGAAACACGACGTGAAATCTTCCCAACTGTCAATGAGATAAGTCAGTCAGCATAATGAAAATGCCCTAAAATATTGTTCGAAGTGTACAACTTCGCAAAGTACTAGTGGAAAAAAACCAAAGTGCTAGTCTAATTTTCATCATTCTAAACAACCAAATTATTCAACTTAATGCCTGTCCAATTTTCGTCACCCAAAACAACCATATTATTTCAACTCAATTTATCAAAATACTCATTATGAGGTGGCACCATCTAAAGCTGAAGATAAAATAAGGCAAACTGCCCACCCCCCTCCCTCCCTCCATGTAACTTGTCTATGTGCCCCTGCTTAGGCTAGCCTCATGACCACAATAACTAGCCCTAGTGATGACATGATGCCAAGTTGACTAGCCATTTAGAGATCCTTTTATCTGAGTTGGAGGTGACATCGAGCCCACTAGAACAGCCACATGGCGGTGGCCATATAGATACCCACAATTTTCAAGCAATCTCCATTAGAGGATCCTTTTTATTTTCCTTGCTTTAACTCCTGTTTTATTATTCATTAAAAAGTTGATCACAAACTATTTTATTATGACATGATGGCTGATTTGATGGATGTTAACCCAAAAATTTATGCATGCATAAAGATTAAAATATATGAGAGAACAAACATTAGAGATATTGCATGTCTCAGTTTCAAAATTGGAGGAAAAATTCTTTTCAGGTGAGGAAGAATGATGTAACTTCATTTTAGTCACTTCTATTTTTTTACACCATTCTTATTTTTGTTAAGTTATTCTTGTTGCTTTATTCAAGGCTATTGTGAAGCCAAAATGTAGTCAATATAGGATTAAACCATTGACAACATAAGAAGAACTATGCACTTGCAACCACAAAAGGGGCATTATCATGCATAAAGAACAAATCAATTCCTCAACACTGTTATTTAGATTAAGACTAAAATATAGAAGAATAGGAAAATAAGAAGAGAAGGAAAGAGACTAGGCAAATGCAAGGGTGTACCAATTTTCGACTCTGATGCAGATGATAAGAAAACTGTAGCATTTGGAACTTGTGCATTGAAACTGACCACATCATATGATTTCCCTGCCATCACGAGTGACATTTGACCATGATATAAAGTTTGTTAAAGCTCATATATGATATATTGAACTAGCTAAGCCACTATCAGAGATTGAAAACAAAATACAGCAGGCAAAATGATACAAGTTTGCATTATATGTCATTAACAAATTTATACTTGCCAGATGAACCCTCGAAACTTCCCAACAATCCATCATGATGAAGCTTCAGTGACAATTCTTGCCCATCAAAACCAGGAGCCTGCAATACCCAAGAACAAACTAATTAGCTCAATTCCAGACCAATTTGAAATTCACAAACAATGATGGAAATGCTACATATTAAATTCACATTATTCCTTTACCCCAAATTAAGATTGTGTATCATTGGCCATTATAGAGTTCAATTCAAGATAGTAGTATGCTGAATCATTAGACAAGCTGATTTACTTTCTAAGAACAAGTATAAATTACACTAACTCCCCATTGCCACCACCACCCTCCCTTCACACCCCTACCACCGATTTGCAATCCCTCTCCCACCATTGCCATCATCCACCCCCAGCCGCCACCTTGCTCTCCCCCTCCCACTCCCCACCTCCAACATCACGTCCCACCCACAACCACCACCTCCCACCCCCGCCAACTGTAATAAACCGACTCACTTATATCCTCCATAAGCTTTAATCCCTCCTTATATGTGTTATTGTATGTGTGATTATATGTTTGATGTGAAATTTCATGTTTTAATGAGTTAATTATATGTTTCTCAATGGGTATCTGTCGGTTATGAAGCAATCTGTTGAAATGGTGACCTTTAGATTGTAAATTGAGAGCCTTAGAGGTGCGATAAACCAAAATTGACTTTACAGTTTTGATTATCATGATTTTTAGGATATAATATGAAGTTTTGTAAAAATTTTGATTCATAATGAATTAATTGGCTTTATTTGGCTAAAATTCCTAGAGTTGACACTTGAAATTGAAATTAACGACTTTAATGAGTTTAGAAACTGAAATTGAGTACATGGATATGTTCAGGGGAATTTTTAGAGCTAATTGGGAAGTTTAATTGAAAATTGATTCAATCTGATTCGTTAAGGCTTGTTTGGCAAGTATTCTAGCTAAGTGATATAAGTTTCCTTATAACTCATTTTCCTCTCATATTTTTGAGTGGAAAATTCTGAAGAGTCATCCAAGAGAAAGGAAGAAAAGAAAAGAGAGGGAGAAAGGAGAAAAGCTTGGAGATTGAGGGGATTGATAGATTAATTTAAAGATTTAGCTCAAGGTAAGTGGAAAAGTAACTAAATTACTCCTAATTTTCCATCTTTCTTTGGAATCAAGCCTTGAGATGAAGTTTTGGCACCCATGGAAGTTAGGGTTTTTGAGATATGATCTTACTTGGCCAAATATCATGGGATGAGTATAGATTTCTTACATTTGTATGATTTAAAGGTCTATTCTTGCATTTGAGATTGTCTTGTGTTGGAATCACTTTCTAATCTCTAAGTGTTGCAAGCTTTGCACTCGTGTATGTATATATGTTTGTGTATGTCCTTGTGTATGTTGGTATATGTCTTGGTGGACCATGAAAAGATAAAGAAATGAATGGGGAGTGGCAATTTAAGTTGTACATATGCAATTAAGATGAGTTATAATCTAATTGGGTTTGAATTTCGTATTTATTATGCTCATATGTCATGTTTTGGAATGAATTTTGCTTGACTTGAGCCATATGAATGTCTTTTGGAAGCTAGAAATTGTTGGAGTTTCGGACTGCTCAAACAGAGCTAACGACCGCACGTGCGGGGCTCATGGCTGCACATGCGGGATGCATAGCCGCATGTGCGGGGCTCACAGCCGCACGTGTGGAAAACAGGGGAGACAGATTGGGGCACTCTACAATAAAAGCACGTGCGGGTCGCACGTGCGGCATACCTTCCTGCACGTGCGGTGGGGGACTCCCGCACGTGCGGCCAGTGGAAAGAAATTATGTCAACTTCCTTTCCCCTGTTTGACCCTCTGAAACTGTTAGTGTGTCTATTTGATCCCTTTAAAATGCTTGAAAATGAATAGAAAGTAAACGAATAGAACAAGTGATTAAAGAAATTAAAGAACTAATAAATGAAGGGAAGAATGCGTTATTTACCTGTTGTATACATGTGCTATGTGTAGGTCACTTGCGGGATGAGACCGCTGCTCGCCTAGACCACTGTGAGTAACAATAGCGTAATGATATGTTTATTCCTGTATTTCTACTTTTGAATTATAATACCTTGATTGTCCTTGGCATGTTGGAATCATTATGCTATGGTTTATATATTATGATTGTGAATGGCATATTTGGGATGAGTGGTGCTAGGATTCATTTATTTTTGCTGGATACGAATTGTGTTTATTGTAATGGTGTACGTTATGTGAATTACATTATGATATGGACTACTTATGATTGGGCCCGAGGCCGTTTTGTATTATGATTGGGCCCGAGGTTGTTTTGTATTATGATTGGGTCCGAGGCCATTTTGTATTATGTTGGGCCCGTGGCCGTTGTGCATCACATTGGGCCTAAGGCCGTTCCGTCTTATGTGGGCTCGAGGCCGTTTTGGAATATGATGAAGGAGACATGTAAACGTTAGATAAATATTCTCCAAGACATATGCCTATTCACCCGAATCTCTTTATATTATTATTATTCACTGAGTCCTACTCACTTTGTTCTTTTATATGTTTATGTAGGGGAGAAGCCTTTTTCGTGGGTCTGTTGTGTTCAACCTCCACAATTGAAGCTTTTTGTCTGGTCCTTTTGACGTCACATGTGTTGTCAAGTTTTTGGTGGCTTTTGTCGAACCCGTGGTTACTTTATAAAGTTTTGGTTACTAACCCCTTGTATATATACCTAGATGACGTAGACTAGATTATATATATATATGTATAATTTGTGTAATGATCCTGGCATAGGCACAAGCTCAATGGACATTATTATTTTGGTATCTGTTTCCGCTTAAAGCCCTGTATTTGAATAAATATTATTTTTTTGAAATTTTGTTTTGAGGCCTAAGTACAAGCCGGTCATGGACCAAACTTTTAGGGGGGGCATTTGAGTCGTGACACAACTACATCTGCCTCCAGTCTCGCCGATGCTTTGGCTCCGTTGACTTGACCTCTAGTGGGTCTTCCCAAATATGTTTTTTTCTTTTCCCCCTCGGTGGAATTAGCAAATATATTGTTTTGCCCTAAGCAAAATTTAAAATAAAATAAAATAAATAAATAAATAAAAATAAAAACTGGTTTTTAGGTGATGATGGTAATGAGGGACTGCAATGCAACTAAGTGATTCGGATACATCTTTTTATTTTTGTCCTTGGTCTCTCTCTCATACACAATAATTAGTACCACGCTTTGAGTTTTTTTTTTTTTTTTTTTTTTTTGGGGGGGGGGGGGGGTGCAGTGTGTTGATTTTGGGTTTTTTAACTCCCCCCTATAACGTGGGTGTTGATTTATTGGGAAGGATGATAGAGACTGTTGGCGATGGTGGTGGTGGGAGGTGGTTTTGGGTGGTGGTGATGGTAAGGGTGAGAATTGACTGTGTTGGTTAGGTAGGCTGAGCAGCGGAAAGGGAAGAGGAAGGGGGTAATATGTAAATTCATACCCTCCGTCGAGCGTATTAAGGCCATTACACATTTTTTTCATTATATTTGTTAAGAGACAAACATTGATAAGAGAGGTCACTGTAATTTTTGAAATGTCATGTGAAAATTTTGTATTAAAAGACGACATTGCAATGTCAATGGATATGTTTTCTTTAATATACAACCTTTATGGGGCTGTGGAGAGAGAGAGAGAGAGAGAGAGAGAGAGAGATTTTCCACCATTTGTGCCACTATAGATGTCATTGTTTGGACTCAACGTTGTGTTGTTTCACAGTAAGGCAACATTTGTATAAGAAGAGATGGACCAAAATGAACTAAAGAAACTTTACTTGATTAATTGGCCATTGAATGAGCCAAAGCTCATTTGAATCTGTTAAACTAAGATCAATGAGTGGATCCTTCACATCCTCCTGAAATTCTGTTGCAGGTCTATTGCCCACTTCATCAGCAGCGTCCATTCCTTCACTATACATAGCCAACCAATAAAGTACTCATAATTATAACAAAAATATTAGCATTTGACAAATATCAGTCGTAATGTCCTTGTATTATACAACCTAAAATCAAAGAAATAGGAAGGTTGATATTGGTTTAAACTTCTCTGTGAATATATATATATATATATATTGGATGTTCTTCTTCTAAAATTAAACCTAACTTGGGGCTTTTTCATCAAGTATACCTAACAGAGGCTCTTGGCCCCTCAAAGTGGGATGTTCCCCCTTCCTTAATCTTCTGATTTATTTTTTCACAAAAGGTTCAAATCAGTCCCATAGTTTCATCTGAATGCAGTTCATAGCAACAGAAAAAGTTCATTTAATTTGACCATTTAGGAGAATAATAATACTAGCTTCAGCTCTATTGGATGGTGTCAACAACAAAACAAAACCCATAAACAGAGAAATCATACTGTAAATGAATGATAAATATATAAATCCAAACACCTATGACTTAAGTCCGAAGATAATGGCAAATATACAAATAGTACATGTTAGAGAATTAGGGAGCCCACAAGCGCACAACAATACCGGCCCAATTCATCGGGGAGAAACTTCCAATTCCACATACTGAACGCTAGGGTGATGTAGGACAAGATTTTCAGGACAAGATTTTAAGAATTTTTATATTTTTAGTTTTAATATTTTTGATGTATTATTAGGATGCTTGTAATTTAGTATAAATATTTTAGAATTATTAGGTTTCTTAATTTTATTATTTTAGAATTAGATTTTGACTAGGATTTTAAATAGTTTAGAATTTTAGTCTCTTATGTTTCCTAGTTCTCTTAAGTTTCTTAATTTGTGTTGATTTAAGTTTCCTAGTTTATTTTGGAATCACTTTTCCTACAAGTATTAGGTATAGTCTATTATAAATAAGCCTACAAGCATAGGTAATATTCATTCATTCAATAATATTTTTAAGAGCTTTTCTTCTATCTTCCTTGTGGATTCAAGGGTATTCTTGTGGATTCAAGAATTTTCGTCTACTAGAACGATATCTAGTCCCGTGTGATTTATTGATGTAGGACAAGATTTTCAGGATAAGATTTTAAGAACTTTTATATTTTTAGTTTTAAAATTTTTGATGTATTATTAGGATTCTTGTAATTTAGTATAAATATTTTATTATTTTAGAATTATTAGGTTTCTTAATTTTATTATTTTAGAATTAGATTTTGACTAGGATTTTAAATAGTTTAGAATTTTAGTCTCTTATGTTTCCTAGTTCTCTTAGGTTTCTTAATTTGTGTTGATTTAAGTTTCCTAGTTTATTTTGGAATCACTTTTCCTACAAGTATTAGGTATAGTCTATTATAAATAAGCCTACAAGCATATGTAATATTCATCCATTCAATAATATTTTTAAGAGCTTTTCTTCTATATTCATCCATTCTATATTCCTTGTGGATTCAAGGGTATTCTTGTGGATTCAAGAATTTTCGTCTACTAGAATGATTTCTAGTCCCGTGTGATTTATTCCGCTGTGTCAAGTGGTATCAGAGCAAGGATTCACCTGGCTCTATGGCACAAGACAGAGTAGATCATGCAAACCCTACTGACGGTGATCGTAGGGTCGAGGCCCTGTGGGTAGCATATGAGAAACAGCAAGAGCAGTTAAACGAAATTCGTGATCTGCTTATTGGCCTGAATCTCAATGCCAACAATAGGCCACCAATGGTTGATAGGGTCTGTGCTGAGGGAGTTGCCCAAGGCCAACCTGTTAACTAGAACAGAGTGCGCACCGAAGGATTTGCCCGAGGTCAGCCTGTTCAGAATGCTCTTAGACGTCCCCTTCGTTGTCCATCTGATAGTGAGGAGGAGTCTGAACCAGAGTTTGAACCACTTCCAGCCAACTATCAACCCCGAAGGCAACAACAACAAGGGTTCAATGAGTACCGAATGAAGATAGATCTTCCCCAATTCAATGGAAATCTACATATTGAAGATTTTCTTGACTGGCTTTCAGAGGTGGAGCGATTTTTTGGGATGATGGATGTTCCAGAATCAAAGATGGTGAAATTGGTGGCATACAAACTAAAAGGAGGTGCTGCGGTATGGTGGGATCAATTGCAGAAAAATAGGCATCGACAAGGAAAAGAATCTGTACGGACTTGGCGTCGGATGAAACAACTCCTCCAAGACAGATTTTTACCACCAGATTATGATCAATACTTGTTTCAGTTGTACCAAAATTGCAACCAAGGAAGCCAATCTGTATTTGATTATACAACTGAATTTTGCCGACTTTCAGATCGCAATAATCTGAATGAGACCGAAGGACAGCATGTAGCCCGGTATCTCAATGGGTTGAAATTAACCATTCGAGAGAAGATGCGGCTATCAGTAGTGTGGACTATGGATGAAGCACATAATATGACTCTCAAAGCCGAGCTAATGGAGCGCAAGACAACCTATTCTGGATGTTGTTGGAACCTTCCTGATTCATCGTTTCCTACTAGGGAAAAAGGAAAAGGGGCTACCCAACCAACAATTCCAATAAATCAGCAGAGGAGTACCACTGGTGGAAGAGGAGGAAACCAGATGACTGGATCAAGTAGCAGAGAGGCACCTCGAAACACAAATCCTTATGCCAAACCAACAATGGATAAGTGTTATAGATGTGGTACGCCTGGCCATCGCTCTAATGTGTGCCCAGAAAGAAGGACTACTAATTTAGTTGAAGAAGAAGATGAAATTGGAGATGATGGAGATGTAGAATATGAGGGTGATCAGTATGAAGGTGCTGAACTCGCCAGAGAAGAAGGAGAACGAGTCAACAGTGTAGTTCAAAGGGTTCTATTTACACCAAAAACTGAGGACCTCAGTCAACGTCACAGTATTTTTCGTTCTTGTTGTACCATGAATCAAAAGGTGTGTGACCTTATTATGGACAGTGGAAGTTGTGAAAATTTTGTGGCTAAACGATTGGTAACGCACCTGAAGTTGTCTCCTGAACCACACCCCTCTCCCTACAGTATTGGCTGGATCAAAAAAGGACCTGCTGTCAAGATAACTGAAGTATGTAAGGTACCTATTTCTATTGGTAAACATTATAAATCTGATGTATTATGTGATGTGGTTGATATGGATGCTAGTCATGTATTATTTGGAAGACTTTGGCAATATGATGTGGATATTACATTTAGAGAGCGAGACAACACTTATGTGTTCAATTGGGGGTCTCATAAAATTGCTATGAGTCCCTTAAAGCAACACAAAGTGCCTCCGAAAGTCGAAGCGAAGCCTTTCCTCACTATAACCAATTCAGAGGCCGAGTTTATAGCAGATGCGAAAACTTCACAAGAGTTATATGCTATGGTTGTGAAAACAATGGTACCTGTGGCCAAGGAGAACACAGTCACACCAATCCCTTAGAAAATTCAACCATTGTTGGAGGAATTCCAAGAACTTATTGCTGACAGGTTGCCAGATGAACTTCTGCCCATGAGAGACAAACAACTGAAATATTCCAAGTATCTTTTTATTTGGCATGGACAATGGCAGATCTCTAATATGAACTCGAGGGCGAGTTCTTTCAAAGAAGAGGAGTCTGATGTAGGACAAGATTTTCAAGACAAGATTTTAAGAATTTTTATATTTTTAGTTTTAATATTTTTGATGTATTATTAGGATTCTTGTAATTTAGTATAAATATTTTAGAATTATTAGGTTTCTTAATTTTATTATTTTAGAATCAGATTTTGACTAGGATTTTAAATAGTTTAGAATTTTAGTCTCTTATGTTTCCTAGTTCTCTTAGGTTTCTTAATTTGTGTTGATTTAAGTTTCCTAGTTTATTTTGGAATCACTTTTCCTACAAATATTAGGTATAGTCTATTATAAATAAGTCTACAAGCATATGTAATATTCATTCATTCAATAATATTTTTAAGAGCTTTTCTTCTATCTTCCTTGTGGATTCAAGGGTATTCTTGTGGATTCAAGAATTTTCACCTACTAGAACGATATCTAGTCCCGTGTGATTTATTCCGCTGCGTCATAGGGCCTAACAAACATCATTTGGAACTCATACCCACCAAAAAGCTTAAGCCCATAAGTGAATAGTTCATCTAATGTATATTACGATAAGACTCATCTCTTTTTACTCTTTATCCGGTACCTTCACACATGCTCCAACAGTACATACCATGATAAACATATATATGTGTATGTTAAAATCCCAATTGCATCATCCATCAAGTAATCTGCATACCCTTGCCCTTAAACAAGTTCAAACCAAATATCCATCAACAAATTATGTAAAATCACATATTTTTCAATCACTCACCAACAATTCAAAAACGGAATCATTCAAATCCTAACCCATCAACATAAAATTGTGAAGGATGAAAAAGAGAGATCAATATAGAGGTATACATGTGAGTCCGCAAGAGGATTGTCAACGACTGCAGGAAGTGATAATGCAGTTTGTGTTTCATAGGAACCCACGCCTGACCCAGGCCCTAAGAGCAACCCCAACACTAATAAGAAATTTTCCTAGCAAAAGTACATAGAGAGTATACTTGTGTATTTAGCCTGACCACTTTAGCTAGTGTGTGTACTCCAATAACACTTTCTATATAAGAAAAACCTTCAAACTAGCCAAACTGATATTTAAAAGAAAAATGGTATATACAAAAAAAAGAAGTTAAAATGCTACATTTTCATGGCATGCCATGTATGTATATATATATATATATATTCATTTCCTAGATAATCCAAGTATACACCATCATCAAATTCCAAATTCCTAATCTCAGATTTTAGCAAGAATAAAAAAGCACAACAAAACAATTAAAAATAAATATATGTTATCAAACGAAACGGTGAAACAGCATATATAACAATAAAGCAGACTCAGCCAACTTATTTCAATCTCTAATTTCAGTGTTGTAGTTAACCATCAACTCTTAGCAACCACTAAATCGAATAACACAGGTTTTCTCAGAAGGACGTTTGTGTGGGGAGTTGAGGATGGATAGAGAGCGTGTGGAGAGAATAGGTTTCAGCGAGTTGCACGCGCACGCGCACACACACACACACAGAGGGTTCCATACCTTGAGGCAGAGCCGGAAGGGATTGGTGGGAGTCGCCTGAAGGAAGGAGTTGGCGATTTCAGGGGGGAATGTCCTACAGTTTTGAAAAGGGTAAATTACACTTTGCACGACTGTAGGTTGCACCGAATCTCATTTGTCCCCCACAAAATTATGACAGTCAATACTTTTACTTTTAGTCAAATTTTATTTTAATCCCTTAATTTTTATATTTTTATTTAAATCTCACTTTAATGTCAATATCTTTATTCTATTATTTTATTTTTAAATATTTAACAAAATTTAATCATGCGACAAAAATAAAACAATGAAATGAGGATAAGAAAAGAAAATTATCAATACTTCTCATCAACACACTTTACCTTACATGATAAACACGAGCAAGGATCCTCTAGAATTTTTTTTTCCTAAAGTTTCTTAGAGTGATGCATTGTGTGGTTGAGATTTAATGACAAGTCACATCAATTTTTTAACATTAAATCTCAACCACACAATACACCACTTTAGGAAACTTTAAGAAAAAAACACTCTAGAGGATCCTTGATGGATAAACACATGAGAGTTATATAATACAATATATATATATATATGTGTGTGTGTGTGTGTTCGTATGGTAAAAATTGGAATGAAAATGCAAGAAAGTAGAACTTTTGAAATAAAATAAAAAATATTCGACAAAGAAATCAAAGAGACCGAAATATGAATAGACAGAAAACTGTATTATTGTGAAAAATAGAATTTTGTGATTCCAATTTATGCAAAATCTTAGTTTATTTTCTTAATTGTTCACAATCTGTATTTTGTTTTAGCCTAATACAGTCATATTTTGATATAAATTTTGAGATAAAGTGTGTATTGGTAGAAAATGTAGATGATTTTCCTTTTGTTATTCTCGTGTCGGAGTCACATTCCTATCACATAATTAGATTATGTTAAAAATTTGAACAATTGAGTAACAGAAATGAGAGATTGATAATTGTATAGGGAACAAAATGAGATTTTACCAAAAGTACAGGGGATTGACTGTAACAATTTCATGTGTAAGGACTAAGTGAGATTTGACCGAAAGTGCAGAAAGTTGTCTGTCATAATTTTTTACGTAAAGATCAAAATAAAATTTAGTACAAAATGCAAGAGTGCAAAGTGTAATTTACCCATTTTGAAAACCTGCAAAGCGCTCTTCATTGTAGGGTTGGGCCAGGTTTTTAGGGGTTTGAAAATGACCAGAGGCCTGTGGGCAGCCTGAAGCCCGCCCGTAGCCCGAGATAGGCTCGGCCCATTTCGACCTAGTAATATCCAGGCTCGAGCCCAGCCCAGTACCTTAGGCCTGGCCTTCTATTCTTGGCCCGTTGGCTTAACTCTGGCCCCAAAAAAAAAACGAGGCTCGGCCCGGCCAATCCACCCACCCACCCAACCCATCTCTCTACCAATGGTCAAATTTCAAAAAATAAAAATAAAACAACTTGTAATGATTAAATAATTAAAAACATAAAAAAAATATAAACAAATAAAATAAATAAAAGATTGATCATGTAAAATTAAAAAAATAAAAACAAAAAGTTATTAATATTATTATTTTATTAATTTAATATATTTATACATCACTTAATACATACCTTAAAATATCTATTACACCACCACTCACTCTATAAGATTAACAAATTCTTAACACATCTTAACACACAATTTTGAGCCCCACTTTTATCACTTTTAGTCATGTAACATACTATTTTTTAGCCACTCCATTGTGAGTGTTCTTACAATGAATGAATTAAAATATATATATATATATATAAATTCAAATAGTTGGTTGGTGTGTATTGTATTAGCAATAATGCTAGGTAGCTCAAAATTTTGTGGCTCAAATGGCTCAAATCATTTAAAACGACGTCGTTTTGACAGATTTTGAGTGTAAAACAACGTCGTTTTGATAGATTTGAGCCATTTGAGCCACAAAATTTTGAGCTACCAAACATTTTCCATTGTATTAGCCTGCCCGCCTGCCCCTAGCCTACTTTGTTCACTGTTGTGTCTCAATCTCATCAATCACTCAAGTCTTCATTCAATAAATGAAAAAATAAATAAATAAATCAAACGGTCATAATTTAGTAAAAACGGTAAAAATTCAAACATCCTAAGACAAACGGTAATATATATATATATATATATTTATAAATTCGTTTCACTCTTTCAAACTACTATAAATATTCTTCATTTTTCAAAATAAATCTGACAAATAATTATCTCTCTTTCTCTCTCTCTCTCTCTCTTAAACTCTCTTAATCTCTTTTAAACTCCCAATCTCTATCAACTCTCAATTAATTTTGAAGTGTCATCTCTAAGTGACAATTGCAATTGTGTAACAAGAAACTTTTATCAAAAGAAGTTAATTTATGTATCGCATTCACCAGTCGGTAACATTAATTAGTTTAATTAAATTTATTGGCTACTCATTTTTTTATTAATTATTTATGCACATATATTAATTATTATATATTGTTTTACTTACATTATTATGAATCCTAATATTCCTAATGTTTATGTCGATGTTGATACATATACTACACAACATGAATCTATTTATTCTCCTTCTAATATCACTCTTCCAACAGTTGGATCATCATCTAGGAGCAGAAGTAGTAGTGTATGGGAACATTTTGAAAAAATATCTATAAATAATCCTGATGGTACAATTACATTTAAAGCAAAATGTAAATATTGTACACATTTACTTAGTGTTGCATCTGCAGGGGGTACTAGTAATTTAAAAAAACATGCTAACAAACATTTACAAAGTCAACAACCTGATATTCGAAGTCAAATGTAATTAGGGGCTTCATCAACTGGTAATTTATATGATCCTATATGCACACAAAATTCTATAGTTGATTATATTATTAAAAAAAAACAACATTTTACTACTAGTGAATGTCCCGATTTTACTGAAATGATTCACAAAAGTTTTGCATCGCAATATTAAAGTTTTTCAAGAAATACTACTAAAAATAAGATTTTAAAGTAATTTAAGAATGTTAAAAGTGAATTATTTGACATATTTAAAAATTTGAATGGAAGAGTTTGTTTAACATTTGATCTGTGGTCAAATAATGATTTTGAATATCAATGTATCACTACACATTTTATTGCTAATGATTGAAAATTAAATAAAAAATTTATTTCATTTAAATTAGTTGAATTTTCATACACTAGTCATTCATTTGGTGTAAAAATAAGAAATGTATTATATGAGTGGACTTTACAAAATAAAATATTTACGATTAGTTTAGATAATACAGCATATTAAAATCACATTGTAACTCATTTAAAATCAACTTTACAATTACTTGTTGATGGTGATTTATTTTATGTTCATTGTTGTGCCCATATTTTAAATTTGATTGTTAAAGAAGCTATGCATGTATGCGAGACTTTTGTACTTGTAATAAAAAATACAATTGTTACTATTATGTCTTCTGCTAATTGAATTTCGAAATATAAAAAAATTTGTCAACGAGAAAATATGCCATTTAGAAAATTAATTTTAGATGTAAATAGTATGTGGATTTTAACATATAGTATGTTCAAAATAGCTCGTAAATAAAGAAGAGCAATAAATTTATTTTTTGCAACAATATCAATAGAAGGAGTACTGACTCTCATAGAACTTAATTGACGTCAAGTAGTCTTGTTTAATGATTTTTTACAAAATTTCGATATATCAACAAAATTATATATATATATATATATTTCTACTTCACCATTTGTTTTACATATGCTAGCAGAAATAATTAAAGTTTTCATAAAATATATGGGTAATGAATATTATGTAACCATTATTACTTCAACAAAAGTAAAATTTGATAAATATTTTAATCTATTGCCTCATCTATTAGGTTTAGTTATAATAATTGATCCTAGGTGTAAAGAAATTGGTTTATAAGAATTTTTAGAGCGTCTTTTCGTTGATCAAACACAGTTTGCCCTATTATGCAAACATGCAACAGATTATTTGAAGAATACAGGGCAATTGCATCTGTAAATACACTTACATTACACTAGTAATCTCATCTTGAGGCGGGAGGTTAAGTGTTTTTCAACAATAAAAAATAGAAGAATATCCCAACATACAAGTGTAAGTAGTTCTGAACTACAACGTTATTTGGAAAGTCCGTCAATGGATGATTATGATAATTTTAACATTTTGGAATGGTGGAAATAAAATGAAACCATGTGGCCTGTGGTTTCACAGATGACCCGTGATATACTAATTATTTCTATTTCTATAGTTGCTTTAGAAAGAGCTTTTGGTGTAAGTAAACGGGTACTGAGCGATTACCGGAGCAGGCTTTCACCCTAAATGGTTGAGGCATTAATGATATCTAGAGATCATATGCATGCGCTTACAAGAAGACAAAATTACAGTGAAAATGAGTGGATTCAAAATGATTTGGATGATATATTCTCGGGAAACGCGACTGAAATGTCTGTCTCCTCTGATGATTGATCAACAATTTGTTTTTTACTATTTTATTTTTATTTTATTTTTTTGTATTAGATTGTTGAGGTGGAATATAATACAAATGATTGGTAGCCTAGCAGGTGTCACAACCCAATCCCAAGGGCTTAGAGTTGGAATCGCAACTTATTAACTTTTTCTATTTGTAGCAAATTAAACTGCACAAGTAAAAATAAAAGTAATTAAACAGGAATTTATTCCATTTTACTATTTTAATAAGAGAAATACATTTATAGGGATTTTATTATTTTATTGTTCAATGGCCTGCCTCGAGTAGAACAAAAGGAAGCAAAATAAAAATTTTAAAAAAAAAAGAGAAGAAGGAAAAAAAAAAAAAAAGGGCTTCAACTCATCCACGTGCGGGTTCCATTTCGTGAGGTTATGCGTTTTCCCTACATCTCGTCACCTAAAATGGTAACAACTATAAGCACACATCAGAGTGAGAAATATTATGCCAAGAGTATAGGGAATATAAAATAACCATGAATAGTTAGTTAAGCCAAAACATTTACATAACTCAATTTGGTAAATAAATCAGTTAAGTGGCAGAAACTGAAGCACATAAATTGTGTAAATAAATAACCATAACCACGGTACAGAACAAAACAAAATAGAGATCATAGAAGTGACAATC